AGCACTCCATCTGAACTCAGAGGACTGGGACACTGGCATCCGCACCCACTCACATACAGAAGGTCAGGCTGCAGGGTGAATTATTAGAGAATTATAAACAGGCACATCCTAGCCGCCCAAGCTCCCTGGGCCTGATGACCTGTCCTGGGGCCTCGAGACGCCAAAAACAATAATGGCTGCCAGTGTGGACCAGGCATGCCCAGAACAGCGCTCCCAGCAGCCACCTCTCCACCCTCTGAGTTGGCCGGAGACATGCAGGCTGCCCCCGTGGCACTGTGTATGAGTGTGTGTGTATTCCACTCACACAGGGCATTAACATACACACACACACACACCACTGTGTGGTGGGCAGTTTCACCTCAGGAGGCTGCTTAGGGGTGGACGGCTCATAATAATGGCCGGAACGGAGCAAATGTAATGGCATCAAACACATGGAAACCATGTGTTTGTTATCATTCCACCTATTCCGCTCCAGTCATTACCACGAGCCCGTTCTCCCCAATTAAGTTGCCACCAATCTCCTGTGGTTTCACCTCATGAAACTCCAAAACAATTACTGCTCCCATGGGGCTGACCTGGACTGTCTCTGGCTGGCATAAAAATGTTATATAAAAAGATATATAATAATAATAATAATAATTGCCATGTTGTTCTGCTGCCATGTTGTGTTGCTACCATGTTGTTGTCATGTGGTGTTGCTACCATGTTGTTGTCATGTTGTGTTGCTACCATGTTGTTGTCATGTGGTGTTGCTACCATGTTGTTGTCATGTGGTGTTGCTACCATGTTGTTGTCATGTTGTGTTGCTACCATGTTGTTGTCATGTGGTGTTGCTACCATGTTGATGTCATGTTGTGTTGCTACCATGTTGTTGTCATGTGGTGTTGCTACCATGTTGTTGTCATGTGGTGTTGCTACCATGCTGGGTTGTTGTCTTAGGTCTCTCTTTATGTAGTGTTGTGGTGTCTCTCTTGTTGTGATGTGTGTTTTGTCCTATTTTTTTAAAATTTTTATCCCCCGTCCCCGCAGGAGGCCTTTTGCCTTTTGGGAGGCCGTCATTGTAAATAAGAATTTGTTCTTAACTGACTTGCCTAGTTAAATAAAGGTGAAATAAATAAATATACTGTTACTGTAAATAGGCTTTACATTTCATATCGTTTGGTCTTAATTCAACATTCAACAGGGATTTTTCAAAGGCTACATTTTCCTGCAGTATCGCATGTATTTTGACAGTTTTCTCTCCTGTGAATATATTTAGTGTGTTTTGTATTTGGGAAAGAAGAGAAGCAGAGAGATGAGAGCTTTTACTGTACTAGTGAATAAAGCCAGAGCGCTTACAGAGTTTAAATGAAATGAATGGTGGAATTCTTTGTCGTGTGTGTGTGTGTGTGTAGTCTATGACATATGCTAATAGAATTCCCAGCTCCTCCTTTCTGCTCTGTGACTGTGAGAGATAATCAGCATAATTATTCTGACAAATACACATGGTTATTCTTAATTAGTATGATAGCCTGTCCCTGTCTGCACCGCGTCCTGTCCACCTGCATCACACGACCACACAGAGCCAAGGGAGACCTAATGCTTGGAGAGAGAGAGAGAGAGAGAGAAGAGAGAGAGGCGAGAGAGATAGAGAGAGGAGCGAGCGAGATATCTAGCTCTCGCTATCTGCGCTCGCTCTCCGTTCCGCTCCGCTGCTCTGCTCTGCTCTCTCTATCGTCTCCTCCGCTGCTTTCGCTCTCTCTCAGCCTCTCGCGCCTCGCTTCTCGCCTCTCTCTCCTCTCTCCTCTCTCTTCTCTTGAGATTGTGTGGATTAGCCAATCCCCCTAATTATCAAAATCCAGAAAGAGCCGTTAAATTCTATAACCACTTAAAAGGAAGCGATTCCCAAACCTTCCATAACAAAGCCATCACCTACAGAGAGATGAACTTGGAGAGGTCCCCTAAGTAAGCTTGTCCTGGGGCTCTGTTCACAAACACAAACAGACCCCACACAGCCCAGGACAACAACAACACAACTAGACCCAACCAAATCATGAGAAAAACAAAAAGAGAATTACTTGACACATTGGAAAGAACAAACAAAAAACAGAGCAAACTAGAATGCTATTTTGGCCCTAAACAGAGAGTAACACGTGGCAGAATACCTGACCACTGTGACTGACCCAAACTTAAGGAAAGCTTTGACTATGTACAGACTCAGTGAGCATAGCCTTGCTATTGAGAAAGGCCGCCGTAGGCAGACCTGGCTCTCAAGAGAAGACAGGCTATGTGCACACTGCCCACAAAATGAGGTGGAAACTGAGCTGCACTTCCTAACCTCCTGCCAAATGTATTAACCATATTAGAGACACATATTTCCCTCAGATTCAAGCGATCCACAAAGAATTCGAAAACAAATCCAATTTTGATAAACTCCCTTATCTACTGGTGAAAAACCACAGTGTGCCATCACAAGCTGCAAGATTTTGTGACCTGTTGCCACAAGAAAGGGGAACCAGTGAAGAACAAACACCATTGTAAATACAACCCCTATTTTGTTTATTTTTTTCCCATTTGTACTTTAACTATTTGCACATTGTTACAACCCCTGTATTATACTAATATGACATTGAAATGTCTTTATTCTTTTGAACTTCTGAGTTATGTTTACTGTTAAAATTTATTGTTTATTTCACTTTGTTTTACTATCTACTTCAAATTGCTTTGGCATGTTAACAAAAACACTTTTCCCATCCATAAGCCCTTAAATTGAATTGAATTGAATTGAGGGAGTAGAGAAGAGAGAGAGAAGAGAGAGAGAGAGAAGAGAGAGAGAGTTAGTTTGGAGTCCTTAGGAAAATCCTATCTCCGCCCCTTTGAGAGAGAGAGAGAGATGCTTTTTTTCTTCCAAATGTTACATTGTGTCGAGCGTAGGCGAGTCCTTTTAAATCTGAGGTAGATATAAATAAGTAAGGCCTGTCCCTGTCTTCTCGCTGTCTATTCCCTTTCTATCTCTCCTCTCTCTCTCTCCCTCCTGCAATATAACTGTTCACTTTTACCTTCTGAATATCTCAGGGAATGACTCTCTCTCACTTAGAGAAGCAAGGGTAGACTGATATCAACACATTGTTTCATGTTGGCAGACATGAGTGTTTTAATTGAAACCAAACAGCCAACACACACACCCACACCCACACACAGTCACACACACACACACACACCCCTCCATTAATGAAAAGTTAAACACATCCTCTTGTAGACATCCAAGCTGTAAACATTTATTCAGAAATCTATAACAGAATCAAAGTCGTTTTTTAATGGCAGTCTGGAGTAGGGTGTGCACACGTATCTGTGCGTGTGTGTCTCTCTGTGTGTGTGTGGGAGCCTATTAATGCAGTGTACCGGTGGTGTTTTAGTGAAAGTGTTTGATTGCATTGCCATCTAGGGGCCGCCGAGGAGTCTCTCCGCTCAAATAAAGACACACCAACAGCTGTTGCTATTGACAATGTGCATATGTTAACTGTTTTATGGTCCACATTCTTAAAGGTAGCTTTAAGAATTCTCTCTTTCGCTCTCTATCTATTTTTCTCTCTTATCTCTGTCTTCCTCTCTCTCTTTCCTACTCTCTCTTCCTCTCTCTCACCCTTCACTCTCTCTCCCTCGCTCTCTGTCTGTACTAACTGGGAGTAAGCTGATGCTATTCTCTTCTTTTCTGGCACTGCGGAGAAGTGTGATTTTCAAAGGATTACACTATTGACTTTTGCTCTCTCTCTCTTCCCTCTCTTTTTGTGACAGGGGGGATCATTAATCCTGTTGGCTGTGAATAAAAACCCAGAACAAGTGAAAAAACAACAGAAAATCGTCTGTGTCATGATAGTTTCGACGTGGTTCTGATAATGTGTGTGGGGAGGTTTTATTATGTTGTTAGTGATGGTGGTGTTCAGATCCTCTTATAGCAGAGACAAGGGTTCACATGAATTCCTTTGCACCGTTCTGCAATGGGCCTAGGGTTTCATCATGGTACACAAATACATACATACATACATACATACATACATACATACATACATACATACACACACACAAATAAATACATACATACACACACGCACACACACACACACACACCAGAGAAGGCTGTTTGGAGGAGCAATAGGAGGACAGGCTCATTGTAATGGCTGGAATGGAATCATTGGAACGGAGTCAAACATGTTGTTTCCATGTGTTTGATGTGTTTGGTACCATTCCATTGATTACATTCCAGCCATTACAATGAGCCCGTCCTCCTATAGCTCCTCCCACCAGTCTCCTCTGGCACACACACACACGCTCTCTCACAGACATTCTCACACACACCCATATTCTGGAGCCTAAAATTGTACAAACACACACTTCCACATCCTTACCACTCTCAGTACCCTGTCATAACACACACAGGCCTTTTAAAGCAGTTGTGTTGATAATCAATTAGAAAATGGAGCCTGGCTTTGCAGCCTGCTCTGAGACTTGGCAGTGAGCTGTGTGTTGTCTCTGTGCCGTGGGGTATTGGTGGAGAGGCTGTGGCTTCAGTTTGATACCAGGGCTGTATTCAGGGGCTTTGTAGCTAACACTCCCCTAGGGACCTGTGTGTGTCTTTCTACATGTCTGTCTCTCCCTCTCGGCTGGTCACTTGAGTGTGCAGTTAGTTCAGGATGTAGCCTAGCGTGCGTGTTGATGTCAGCCCCCCGTGTCAAATCCATAAGCATGTTAGGTTTCTATTGTCTGGTTTCTGGTATAATTCCCTCTGAATTCTGCTCTTTGTAAAGATCTCATGGGTTGGTTTTTGGAGTGAAATCTGTCCATGTGTTTGTCTGTGTACATGCATATGACTCACTCTCTCTCTATCTCTCTCTCTCCATCTCCATCTCCCTCTCTCTCTCTCCCTCTCGCTCTCTTGGTCTCTCCCTCTCTACCCCTCTTTCTCCCCCTCCCCCCTCTCTCTTCCCCACTCTCTCCCTCCCCCTCTTTTCTGCCCCCCACAGGGCAGTACTCTCCAGGCCAGTGTGTATGGCTTGGAGGCGTTCAGTGTGTACAGTGTGCGTGTGGAGGCAGTGAACGGGGCAGGCAGTGTATCCAGTCCCTGGGTCAGCATTAGGACCCTGGAGGCATCGCCTGCTGGCCTGGCTAACTTCAGTCTGGAGCAGAGAGAGCAGGGCCGGGCCCTTCTGTTAACCTGGGACACGCCTCATACACCCAACGGGGTTATCACGGTACACACACACACACACAGACAGACACACACACACACAGACACACACACACAGACAGACACACACACACAGACACACACACACAGACAGACACACACACACAGACACACACACACAGACAGACACACACACAGACAGACACACACACACAGACAAATATCAAAGGGGTCATCACAGTACACACACACACACACCACACACACACACACACACACACACACACACACACACACACACACACACACAGACATACACACACAGACAAATATCAAAGGGGTCATCACAGTACACACACTCACACACTCTGAACTCCCCATCTCTTTTTCTCGCTCTCTCTCTCTCCTCCAGAGTTATAACATCTACAGTGAGGGGAACCTGGAGTTCAGTGGTCTGTCTCGCCAGTTCCTGTTCCGTCGATTAGAACCCTTCTCCCTCTACTCTCTGGTTCTAGAGGCCTGTACCTCCGCAGGCTGTACCCGTACCCCCCCTCAGTCTGTTACCACGGCAGCAGCCCCCCCGGGCGCTCAGCCCGCCCCCATACCCAGCGCTATTGGCCCACACAGCGTAGAACTCACCTGGAGCCTGCCCACTTATCCCAACGGACCAATAAGAGAGTACTTCCTGCTGGGGCGTTGTCTGGATGAGGGGAGAAGGGGGAACAACGAGGAAACAACTGCCAAGGTGTGTATCCTCATTATCTTTGCTGCTCTTTGGTAATACTTCTACCTTAAACAGAAAAAGACAGTGTACTACATATAAGAAAAAGGGATTTAATATAATACAATAATATATGCCATTTAGCAGACGCTTTTATCCAAAGCGACTTACAGTCATGTGTACATACATTTTACGTATGGGTGGCCCCGAGAATTGACAGTAAATGTTTCACAGCAGCAGATAGGACTGTATCACTGATATTTTGTGAGTCGACTTTTGAACGTTCTAATGACTAGTCAACAGTAGGGCTGGGATGATACCAGTATCACAATACTCTTTAGTAACGTGGCAAGGAAAAAAACACAAAGCAGATTTAACTTCTTAATGAGAACAGGCCTAATGTTGGAAACAAACATCATTATGTTGTCATCCAGAGTCACATTAATTTATTTTCCAAGCTATAGCACACAATATTTTACACACAGCAGGTTTCTAATGGACCAAAGAGTTTGGTCTGCTTCGTGTTTTCATTTTTGCCATGGAAATATTGCGATACTGGTATAGTCCCGGTCCTACTCATCAGTGTTCATTTGATCCTTTGTCACAATCTTAACCTGTCTATTTCAGTTATATGATCATCATTAGCTGTTGATATATTGCATGAATACATTGTGGATATTTTTCTGTCAGGTACTGTTCCGTGAGAGTTCCACCCAGGCTTCTAGTTTCTCCCACACTGTGACGGGGCTGCGGCCCTGGACCCAATATCAGTTCAGTGTCCGCGTCCACAACCCCGCCGGACACGCAGACAGCCCCTGGGTTACCGTGACAACAAGACAGGCCCCCCCACATGGCCTAACACCCCCCTCTGTTGTCCACATGAAGGGGAACCCCTATGAGCTCCTGGTGTCATGGACCCCCCCACTGGAGAGTAACGGGGTGCTTCTCTCTTATAGGATCCAGAGAGACAACGTCAGTTTCTCTTTTAGTTTTGACCCCAGTGTTTTCAACTACACAGACGAGGACCTGTCTGCCTTCACCTCCTATAGATATGCTATTACAGCCTGTACTGCTGAGGGCTGTGTTACTAGTCCTGAAACACACGTAAAGACACTGGAGGCTCCTCCCGCTGCAGTGGACTTTCCCACCATAACCAGCATCACAGCTGATAGTATCAACGTGTCCTGGACCGTTCCATTAATACAGAACGGGGAGGTGACGCAGTACACGCTGGAGGCCAACGGAAAGGAGGTTTACCGTGGGAGGGGCTTGTCTGTGGTGATGTCAGAGCTGCGGCCGCATACACTCTACCGCCTCGTCCTATTGGCTTGTACCAACGGGGGGTGTACCCCCAGCACCCCTATCAAGGCTCAAACCCTTGAGGCCCCTCCTCGTGGTCTAAATCCCCCCTCCCTCAAAGTCACCGGCCCAGAGTCTCTCGAAATCACATGGGGCGCACCGAAACACCCCAACGGTGTCGTCACCGGTTACGAGCTCCACCGGGACGGCCAGGTCATCTACGTCGGCAGGGAAACGCGTTACCATGACTTCACGCTGTTGCCGAGCGTGGAGTATGGCTACAGCGTAACGGCTAACAACAGTCGGGGAGCAGTGACCAGCTCTGTGGCCAAGGCCAGGACTCACCCGTCCGCTCCCTCTGGTGTTGGGCCTCCCACACTGCAGCCTCTGGGGCCACGGCAGGTCAGTAAGAGGAGTGGGAGTTGTACAAAACACGTCTGTTTAAATAGTTTGAGAATACATGTAAATACGCTAATCTTTATTTCTGCACATTTCAAAGTGACAAATATTTCCGAAAGACCTCCATTCCTAATACATGTTCATGTGTCTGAGGTCCTACTATAGTTTCAATTCTGCCACTTCTACTCACATTGTTAATACTATTGTCAATGGTATATGAGATGTGTAATGTTGTGAAGGTGAGGGTGGACTGGGAGCCCCCAGCGAGACCTAATGGGGTGATCGTCAGCTACACGGTATACCAGAGAGACCCGACCCTGCCCTCAACATACAGCTTCCTGTATGACCCAGAACACAGCGCCTTCTCCAGACGCTCCATCATACTGAAGGAGCTCACATCCTACCACAGGTCAGTCACTAACTAACCCCTTACCTCTAACCTCTAGCCACAGGTACAGAGAGTGTGTGTGTGTGTGGGGGGGGGGGGGAACCCTTTATTTTTAGGAACCCTTTATTGACACTATTTAGCGACTGTACAGACAAAGCAAAATCAAGAGAAAGAGAGAGATACAGAGAGAGAGAGAAGTGAATGAGTAAATGAAGGAGAGCGATAAATATAAAGAAAGTTATGGAGAAAAGAGGGAAGGAGAGAGAGAAATAGAGTGATAGAGACAGACAATAGAGAGGGACCCAAATAAGTCAAAGGGACAGCATCCAGAGAGAGATGGATAGAGATGGAGGGAGGGAGGGAGGGAGGGAGGGAACTAGGGGACGGAGAGAGATAGAGAGAGGGAGATATTGAGAGAGAGGGAGAGATTGAGAGAGATGGAGAGAGGGAGGGAGCTAGGGAGGGAGAGAGGGAGAGAGATGGAGAGAATCAACCTTGAGGCAGTGGTCATGTCTCCATGATCCTGTATGTACGTGTGGGGTGGTGTGTTTCTGGGTGTGTGCATGTGGGGTGGTGTATTCCTGTGTGTGGGTGTGAGGGTGTGTGTGTTCATGCGTGTGGGTGGGGTGGTGTGTTCCTGTGTGTGGGTGGGGTGGGGTGTTCCTGTGTGTGGGTGGGGTGGTGTGTTCCTGTGTGTGGGTGGGGTGGTGTGTTCCTGTGTGTGGGTGGGGTGGTGTGTTCCTGTGTGTGGGTGGGGTGGTGTGTTCCTGTGTGTGGGTGGGGTGTTGTGTTCCTGTGTGTGGGTGGGGTGTTGTGTTCCTGTGTGTGGGTGGGGTGTTGTGTTCCTGTGTGTGCGGGTGGGGTGGTGTTTTCCTGTGTGTGTGGGTGGGATGGTGTATTCCTGTGTGTGCGGGTGGTGTGTTCCTGTGTGTGTGTGTTCCTGTGTGTGTGTGTGTGAGGGTGTGTGTGTAAGGTGAAATACTGATAAGACCCAGATAATAAAAGCTCATCATCTTTATCATCTACAAATCCCCACCACTCCTCCTCCCAGATGACCTTCTCTCTATTCTACTCCTCCTCCCAGATGACCTTCTCTCTATTCTACTCCTCCTCCCAGATGACCTCTCTATTCTACTCCTCCTCCCAGATGACCTTCTCTCTATTCTACTCCTCCTCCCAGATGACCTTCTCTCTATTCTACTCCTCCTCCCAGATGACCTTCTCTCTATTCTACTCCTCCTCCCAGATGACCTTCTCTCTATTCTACTCCTCCCAGATGACCTCTCTATTCTACTCCTCCTCCCAGATGACCTTCTCTCTATTCTACTCCTCCTCCCAGATGACCTTCTCTCTATTCTACTCCTCCTCCCAGATGACCTTCTCTCTATTCTACTCCTCTCTCTCTGTTGCATTTCTATCTCGCCCTCCCTCTCTTTCTCTCAATTTTTTCTTTCCCCCTTTCTCTCTCTCTCTTCTAAAGCATTGCACGGAAAAGACAGAATGACATTTAGGTAGAAATATGTGTAATATTGAATGTGTAATATTGTAATAATGACAACATTGAGATATAATACATACTGTATATGATACTAAGTGTATGTTGACAGACCTGTGTCTATAGCTGTGTGTATATCTGTGTGTCTCTGTGTGTCTATCAGGTACGAGGTGAGAGTGGAGGCGTGTACAGAGCTGGGCTGTGCCTCCAGTGACTGGGTCTCAGTGCTGACACTAGAGTCTCCTCCTACTGGCCAGACCATACCACTGCTGGAGCTACAGAGAGATGCCAGGGGCCTACAGACCGTCTTTCTGCTCTCTTGGTCCCCCCCAGCCCAGCCCAATGGTAGAGTCCTACACTATGAGGTCTATAGGAGAGTGGGTCAGAACACTGAGGTTAGCGGGGGTGCAGCAGCGCTGGTGTGTAGGAATGCTTCCTCAATGTGCCGTGATGCCGGTCTCCTGCCCTACACTGACTACCAGTACCAGGTAGGTACACAGTCTGGCTAACACAGTCTGGCTAACACAGGGGTGGGGAACCACAGTCTGCATTGTGTGCATGTTTTTGTTCCAGCCCACCACTAACACACACTAACACACGCTAACACACACTAACACACCCCTCCCCCTTCCCTAACCCCACTCAGCCCCACTCAGATTGATGTTGTAATGCTAGTCCATATTAATGTGGTGGTTTGCGTGTTGTCGCTAATTGACAGGCTACCCTTTAGAGCACAATAACATTAGCATCCTGCCTGTCAGCCACGCTAGCCGAGGGCAGAGCCACGCTCTAATTGATTGAGTTTGCCTGATTGTTCCGTCTTATTTACCAGCCGTAATTTATGACAGGGGGAGTTGGGGCTGAGAGATGACAGGTGGGTGACAGAGCCATTAATCATTGGCAGACAAGAGCACCCGTCATTACCATCGAGCCAATCGAATTAGTCGCTTACCTCACCCTCCCGGATACGGACATGTATCGGAAAGACCTTTTAAATGTCGGGTGTAGGGCCCCAAGGGAGTTTGGGGGGGGGACCCTGTATACATGAGGAGATACGCTAACCGGAAGTGAGAGAGATTGGGGGTGCTTCTAAAGTTTATGTTGTGTGTTTGACTACTAGCCTATATGAAGTGTTTATGTACAAACACTGTTTGTGGGTTATCCCCATTCATCACATGAGAGAGGAGACAGAGTAGGAGGGGTAATTTCTCCCCAGCAACACAAGGAAGGACAGAGTCCCACCACAGTACAGAGGGAGATCAAATTAGCTTAATTAGCCCAGGTCGTCATGTTTTATTGGCAGGTTTATGCCAGCCTTTAATTAACGCCCACTTTCACCCAATTTACCCTCCGACCCTTGTCTCCACGATGATGACACCGCTAGGACAGCCAATCCGAGAGCTCGGACCGTGGCGGCGCGGCTCAGCTGACCAATCAGAGGGCGCAGAGCGAGTCCACGCAGCTTGGGTAGATTTTTGTTGCCATGGCCACTCAAATGGCTTAAAAAACAACAACATTATAACCTGGACTAGATATCTTAGTATGCACACTGTGTGGAGGCCGTAAAATGTCTGTAACTCATACAAGGACACACAGATATAGCTCTAAATGCTAGACATCTCCTTTCTGTATCTAGGGAGAAATGGCCTTACGAAGGGAGAAATGGCCTAACGAAGGGAGAAATGGCCTAATGAAGACACACAGTGGCAGAGAAGTTGCTACATTTAAACTCTGGTAGCATGATATTGTATCTAAGGTTGGAAAATGTTGGTAAATTTCAAAAAATTCCCAGGTTTTCCAGAAATCCCGGTTGGAATATTCCTTAGAAAGGAATAAGTAGGAAATCCTGGATTTCTGGAAAACCTGGGAATTTTGGGAAAGTTACCAACATTTTGCAACCCTAATGATATCTAAACAGTGTGAAAACACACTACACCAGTGAAAGCTGTTACACTACCGGTAGCCTTGTCGAGAACCAGGCTTCAGAGGTATGGCAACACCAGAATACACTACCGGTAACCTCGTCGAGAACCAGGCTTCAGAGGAATGGCAACGCCAGACTACACTACCGGTAGCCTCGTCGAGAACCAGGCTTCAGAGGAATGGCAACGCCAGACTATACTACCGGTAGCCTCTGTTTCTTGACGTCTTCGGAGTAATGCCAACGACAGACTACATTCCCGATAGCCTCGTCAAGAAACAGGCTTCGGAGGTATGGCAACACCAGACTACACTACCTGTACCTAAAGAAAGTGGCCACAACACATTGTGTCAAGTTTTGTATGTTAAGTTGTCGCAGAAACTTCATCCCCAAGTCACACACACACACACACACCAATCCCCACCACCACCCTCTTGACCTTTTCTCCATCTAGGTGACAGGATGACCTCTCTCCTCTCTCCCCCCTTGGATTCTGACACTCAGGAACAGTGTGTGTGGGATTCTGAATGCGTGTGCTCCTCTCCTCTCTGTCCGACTGCATCTCGTCTCAGATCTATCATCCTGATTGATCACAGGGTAATTGGCTGTTATTGAGGCTAATTTAACCCTCTCCGCCGCCGCATCCATCTGCCACCTCCACTGCTCCTGACAATCTACAAATGACTTACCCATGCAAATATCCACCTGCCTGACCCTGAGCTGTGTTCCCCTGTAATTACACTAACACTGCCTGGGAAACAAGATGAGCCTGGTGTAGAGAGAGAGAGAGAGCGAGAGCGAGAGCGAGAGAGCGAGAGAGAGAGCGAGAGAGAGAGAGAGAGAGAGCGAGAGAGAGAGAGAGAGAGAGAGAGAGAGAGAGAGAGAGAGAGAGAGAGAGAGAGAGAGAGAGAGAGAGAGAGAGAGAGAGGGTTCTAGGTCCTAAGAGCAGGAGGAGGCAGCAAACTGGTGAAGGGCGATGCTTGTTCAAGGGAGAGAAGCACTTCTGCACTTTTTTATTTCGCTCTCTTTCTCCTCTTTCCTACGTTCGTTACCTCCTACTCTCACTCTCTCTCTCTCTCTTTATAACTGTATTTGTCGGCCCGCTGTCTCAATCTCAGCCCCCCGCCCCTCTCCCTCTCTCTCCTCCTCCTGCCTCCCACAGTGTGACAGTTCTCCAGTGAGAAGGTGAGGGGTTGACACTGGACATCTTCCTCAGTTCACCTGTAGCTGGCCCTAGCTCTCACTCTCACTGCATTCTAAAGATGTACACACTCACACACACACACTCACTCACTCACACACACATACACTCACACACACACACACTCACACTCAGCCAGAGAGGTACAGTGACTGAAGTGGACTCTTTTAGTCAGGTGACAGCGATGCGATGGGAGTAGACTCACACAGACAGGTGACTAACTCTTAGACCTAGTAATGTACTCCTGATACAGCCTCATGAATGAGCAGTAAGGGGACTTTCTCCAGGTTTTTCTGATTAGCAATTGTGTTAGTACAAGTGTTTAGTATGTTAGTGCTGGAACAAAAGCCTGCTGGGTTGGTGACCACTGCTTTGATTTTGTGCAAAGATAACATACTTGTCATAAACATAACATAATCCTTTTTGATTGACAGGTTTGGGCGGTGAATTCTGTTGGTCGTTCAGGAAGCCAGTGGGCCAATGGGAGAACAGGTCCCGCTCCTCCTGAGGGTGTTGGCCCACCAACCTTCCTGCGTATCTTAGCAACCTCGGCTGTTGTTGACATTCGCCCCCCCACCAGGCCCAACGGCATCGTCAGCCTCTACAGGGTGTTCTCACAGGGCCCCAACGCTACACACACACTGGTAACACACACACACAATCTGGTAATACACACACATACTCTGGTAACAAACACTATTGAGACACACACTCACTTGTAACAAGTGCACACACTAGTAACACACACACACACAAACAAACACATACACAAGCACACACCGAAGAGATAACTTCACTTTTCTGTGACTCATTCTCTCTCTCTCTCTCTCAGTTGTCAGAGGGGACATCTCGTCAGCAGACCCTCCATGATCTGAGTCCATACACTCAGTACTGGGTAGGAGTAGAGGCATGTACCTGCTACCAGTGCTGCAGCCAGAGCCCTGTGAGTGAGCTGCGCACCCAGGCCTCCCCCCCAGCACACCAGCCGTCCCCTCGCCCAGTGGCTCTGACATCACGCTCAGCACAGGTGGAGTGGGACGAACCGCTCGCCCCCAACGGACTCATTGAGAGGTAGAGAGAAAGAGAGAGAAACACAAACACAAACACAAACATATATATATATATATATATATTAATATTAATGCCTCTGCTTCCTCTTTCACTCTGCTCTTGTCCCTTCTCTCTCTATCTCTCTCTCTAGTTGTGAGCTGCACGTTCGTTCCTCCTGCCCCCAGCCTCCCCAGCCAGTCCCGCCCCTCTGTGTGGAGGGACCAATAGAAACGCGGTTCTTCGGGCGGGGCAGGAATTACAACGTGACAGGTCTGCAGCCCTACTCCAGCTACCAGCTCAGAGCTGCTTGTTATAACAACATGGGTAGTACCGCCTCCAACTGGACTACTGTTACTACACTAACTGAGGGTAGGACATCTAACCCTGACCTCTAACCTCTAACCCCTGACCTCTAGCCCTGTTATAACAACATGGGTAGTACCGCCTCCAACTGGACTACTGTTACTACACTAACTCTCTCTCCCTCTCTCTCTCACCCCCTTCCCTGCCTCTTTCTCTCCCCCTCTCTCCTCCAGCTCCTCAGTATATCTCTCCATTTGAGGTGTACAGTAACCTGACTATGGTGTGGCTAGACTGGAGTGCCTCTTTCTCTCTGAACGGTCCTCTGAGAGACTACTCACTGACAGACAACAACCTGAGAGTCTACATTGGCTTCCACAGCTACCTCTATATACCTCGCACCTCAGAGAAGAGTGAGACAACACACACACACCTCACAGATGCCGAGTCCCTCTATGAGCAATATCTCTCCATCTGATTCGTTCTGAAGATGAGTGGTTTTTATGGCACTACTCTACTACTCTTACACATCTACAACTATCTATTTCTCTCTCTCGCTCTCCTCCCTCCCCCCCCCCCCCCCCCCCCCCCCCCCCCCTCCCTCCCTCCCTTCCTCCCTCCCCCCCTCCCTCCCTCCCTCCCTCCCTCCCTCCCTCCCCCCCTCCCTCCCTCAGCCCTCTCCCTCCAGGTGACCTGTACTACAGACATTGGCAGTGCCAGCACCCCTATCATCAGATACAGTCCTGCTACAGGCATGGGTGAGACAGCACACACACACACACCAACTCTATGCCAGTATTCACCAACCGGTCGTTCTTCAAGGCATTCCAAGTCGATCACCAAACATTTCTGTAGAAAAGCCAACGATAAAGCTTTGCGTTCCTATTATTATTATTTGTATTCGCCTTGCACTGTTGGTGGTAGGTGCAGTTGATTCAAGTGCGCCTAGTAGGCAAAGTGTTCCCATTTTGAACCATTTAATTTGTCTGAAAGGACAAACTCCGCCTACCCAGCGGACCAGGAGAGCTAAATTTACATTTTACATTTACATTTTAGTCATTTAGCAGATGCTCTTATCCAGAGCGACTTACATTATTTATTTATTTTCCTACCCCCTGTGGGAATCGAACCCACAACCCTGGCGTTGCAAACGCCATGCTCTATCAACTGAGCTACATCCCTGCCGGCCATTCCCTCCCCTACCCTGGACGACGCTGGGCCAATTGCGCGCCACCCCTTGGGTCTCCCGGTCACGGCCGGCTACGACAGAGCCTGGATTCGAACCAGGATCTCTAGTGGCACAGCTAGCACTGCAATGCAGTGCCTTAGACCACTGCGCCACTCGGGCGACTAAATCAAGCGCACCTACTGCGCTGGCCAATCGGATAGCTCAAATCACTGTGCTTCTCCCTACTTCCACTCGTGCTTCAACCAGTGCTACAGCTGCAATAAATGAGTAGCCAAGTGTATCGATAGCCCTGCGTTTTATTATTATTAGCAGCTCATCGTGTCTATTTTAATATCAAGGAATATTTCACTTTCTCTGGTCATAGGAACAACATGAATTTGTGCATTAGGCAGAAATAATGTGGTGCGACTCGAGTTTGGCCATCAGGTGGAAGACGGTGTCCCCTTTCTCTGGTGGTCAGTCTCACCGGAGGAAAGGAGAGAGCAGGGACCGTGAGAGGCGGACCCTCTGCTGCTCTCTCTCTCCCTCTGCTGACATTGACCATCAGTTGCAGGTATTGTCAGTCCAGTAAAATAAAAAAGCAAATTATTTAAATGTCCCCTCAGATGTGCCTCGCAAGTGATACAACAACTGATCTATTTTGTTATCAAAGCTCGAGTTTTGAAATATAATATGGTCTGAGAATAACAATATTGGCAGGTCAAGCATATAATCAATATGCTGTGATAATGTATTAAGCCTACCACACAAACCTCATTTCTACAGAACTGTTTTTATTAGGTTAATGTTGCACAGGTTTACATTTTTTAAGTGATGTTATTTTTGTATTTATTCTGAGCGGTAGATCTCGGTTTGCTTTTGGACTCTGAAAGTGATCTTGACTCAGAAAGGTTGGTGGCCACTGCTCTATGCTAACCTTTCTACCTCTGTAAGTGGGGTTTTTGTTGTATCAGATCCCTACTCTAAGCTGCACACCTCCACACTCTCTCCCCCCAGGTCCGGTGGAGCCCAGCCCAGGAGGGAAGCAGGGTGTGGGGACCCAGGGAGCTCCAGTCTACTCTGAGCTGTGGTTCATCCTACTGCTAGTCCTACTGGGTCTCCTGGTCCTGGCTGTGCTGCTGGGCCTGGTGCTGAGGAGGGCCCTGAGGAAAGAACCCTTCATTAGGGAACGCCCCCCTCTCGTCCCCCTGCAGAAGAGGAGCCAGGCAGGAGGAGACGCTTACATGGTGAGAGAGAGACCCAATTCCAAACGCCCCCTATCCGTAACCCTAGGTACTTTGTGTAGACCTTAAAGGATTGAATAAGTATTAGCGATGTGATAATGGCTCTATCTTGTCATTGCTAATACCTGTCCATATGTTTTAAATGAAGTATATATAAAAAAAAATGTATACTGAAGATTTTTGAACAGGCAGTCTTTTATGAAATGAGCTTTCTTCTGTTGCACTGACTTAAATTCAGCCTCTTGCCCACTAGAGGGCGATGACAACCCATTTATTATGTACTAGCAGAGGTGCCCTCTTGTGGTTTTGAAATGCCTGAATCCTTTTTCTGTATATGTAATAATGTGTGGAAAGACATTGACAACTAATTGTACATTTGACTATTCACTGTGCCTCAGGTGATTTCCATTTCCTTCTTGTTATATTCTGTCATTATTTTCTTCTTCTTCTTTTTCTTCCCATTCTTCCTACTTGCCCTCTCTTTCCTACTTGCCCTCTCTTTCCTACTTGTCCTTTCTGTTCTCCTCACTCCTCTTGTCTCCTCCCTCTCAGAGGCCGTATTCTAGCATGTGTTCTAAACACCACGCCAGTACTCTGCTCCTCACTGACCTCTCCACTGTTGCAGTAAGCCTGTCTCGGTCTCTCTGTCTGTATATGTCTCTGTCCACACGTATGCATCGACATGCTTATAACACGTGTGTGCTTCTACATCAGGGTTCCCCAACTGGCGGCCCGCGGGTCATTTTATTTGGCACTCCCAAGTTTTCTGAGCAAAAAAAAAGGGTAACACTTTACTTGACACACAGTGACATAACTTGTCATAACCTGTCATAATATGGTAATAACACTGTCATGGCCCATATATTTAGACCTGTTGTGACATATATTGTGTTATTTTATGGCTGGTTATGACACCTACATAAGAGTGTCAAAACCCACATTTATGCTCCTGAAATCTGCTCCTGCATTCATCCCAGTCATCAACAACAGAGCATTGGGGTAGGTTGATGTCTGACATCAATGTGTGCACAATTACAATGCTAATTTAATATGGTCAAAATATTTTACAAACATACTGTTGACATGTGGGCTATGGTGTAATGGAATGTTTTGCCTTGTGTGGTAGGTTTTGTAAGTGTCATAACCAGCCATAAAATAACTACTGTGGTAGTTTTTGTGGGTTTTTACACTCTTATGTAGGTGTCATAACCAGCCATAAAATAACGCAATATATGTCACAACAGGTCTAAATATATGTGTGATGACAGTGTCATGACCATATTATAACAGGTTATGACAAGTTATTTCAGCTGTTATGACGCTGGGTGTCAAGTAAAGTGTTACCAAAATATTATATATATTTTTTTATTATTATTTATTGTTGGACATAAAAGACGAAAAACACCAGCCAATCAGCTCCAAGTGATTTTCATTTTGGAAATCTGTTACAAAGTATTCCCACGCATAATAGAGAGATATGTGTGATCATATACAAATGTAAGCAAGGTTTGAAATTATTATGTTTTAGTCAAATATTATATCTGTTTGGGCTTCTTGCGGTCAATTTGCAGTTATTTGTAATTAGGTTCCCGGCTCCCTGATCATCCGCTGAAGAAATAATCGCCCCGCGGCTGAATCTCGTTGATTATCCCTTTTCTACATAATAACACATGTGTGCATCAACACCCTTATGACCCATATGTATGTGTCCTCCTATAAAGTTAACACACACTGCAAACTCTCACACACACACAGCTGATGTGTCACACAATGCCTCTGTCCCAGCAGTTTGATACGGTAACAGACTGTCTAGAGGACAGCAACGTGACTCTAAAGAGCTACACTATGAACTATGAGGTAGGAGGGGACAGAGTGTCTGCATGCACCCTGCTATATACAACCTTATGGACGGGTTAAGGGGGAAAGGGAGTGTGCATGCATCCCACTAACTCTTACACACTTGGCAGGTTGAGAGAGTGTGCATGTACCACCTTATAACCCCAAATGGAAGCATGCATAATTTGAGTCTCAGACTAACACGTCTGCTGTAGTTTACAATCAACTGGTGTCACTGATTTCTCCTGGAGGGTGAGATGATTTGGGTGATTCTTGATTCAGCTGTGCCTGGCCTATGTCCTTCTGTTTAGAATTTACGCTTTAATGGTTAAATGACCATTTAATGTGGACATGTGGGTCGTGTTACTCTTGGTGTGTGGCATACTGTTTTAGTACGTGGGATACTTCTATTCTACTGGTGGGTGGGTTAATGTTTCAGTATGTGGGATACTTCCATTGTATTGGTGTGTGGCTGATGATTGTGCTTATGAAGGTCGGTATATGGATGTATGATCCACCTCTACTTCCTGTTACCCATCACCCCCCAGGGCCTGACGGACAGTAAGATTGTGGGTGGCGGCTCTCGATTCAGCCCCATGTCTGTCCTCCGCGTGCCCAGCCAATCACAGCTCAGCCACGCCTACTCCCAGAACTCTCTGCACCGCAGCGTCAGTCAGCTGATCGAACAGGACAGGAAGTCTCTGATGGGGGAGGGAGGACAAGACTCTGGACTGGTGAGGAGGGAGGACACGACTCTGGACTGGGGAGAGGGGGAGGAGGGAAGACACGACCCTGGACTGGTGAGATGGGGAGGAGGGAGGACACGACTCTGGACTGGTGAGATGGGGAGGAGGGAGGACACGACTCTGGACTTGGGAGGAGGGAGGACACGACTCTGGACTGGTGAGAGGGGGAGGAGGGAGGACACGACTCTGGACTGGTGAGATGGGGAGGAGGGAGGACACGACTCTGGACTTGGGAGGAGGGAGGACACGACTCTGGACTGGGGAGATGGGGAGGAGGGAGGAAACGACTCTGGACTGGTGAGATGGGGAGGAGGGAGGACACGACTCTGGACTGGTGAGATGGGGAGGAGGGAGGACACGACTCTGGACTTGGGAGGAGGGAGGACACGACTCTGGACTGGGGAGATGGGGAGGAGGGAGGAAACGACTCTGGACTGGTGAGATGGGGAGGAGGGAGGACACGACTCTGGACTGGTGAGATGGGGAGGAGGGAGGACACGACTCTGGACTTTGGAGGAGGGAGGACACGACTCTGGACTGGGGAGATGGGGAGGAGGGAGGAAACGACTCTGGACTGGGGAGATGGGGAGGAGGGAGGACAAGACTCTGGACTGGTGAGGAGGGAGGACACGACTCTGGACTGGGGAGAGGGGGAGGAGGGAGGACACGACCCTGGACTGGTGAGATGGGGAGGAGGGAGGACACGACTCTGGACTTGGGAGGAGGGAGGACACGACTCTGGACTGGGGAGATGGGGGAGGAGGGAGGAAACGACTCTGGACTGGTGAGATGGGGAGGAGGGAGGACACGACTCTGGACTGGTGAGATGGGGAGGAGGGAGGACACGACTCTGGACTGGTGAGATGGGGAGGAGGGAGGACACGACTCTGGACTGGTGAGATGGGGAGGAGGGAGGACACGACTCTGGACTGGTGAGATGGGGAGGAGGGGGGACACGACTCTGGACTTGGGAGGAGGGAGGACACGACTCTGGACTTGGGAGGAGGGAGGACACGACTCTGGACTTGGGAGGAGGGAGGACACGACTCTGGACTGGGGAGATGGGGAGGAGGGAGGAAACGACTCTGGACTGGGGAGATGGGGAGGAGGGAGGAAACGACTCTGGACTGGTGAGATGGGGAGGATGGAGGACACGACTCTGGACTGGTGAGATGGGGAGGAGGGAGGACACGACTCTGGACTGGTGAGAGGGGGAGGAGGGAGGACACGACTCTGGACTGGTGAGATGGGGAGGAGGGAGGACACGACTCTGGACTGGTGAGATGGGGAGGAGGGAGGACACGACTCTGGACTGGTGAGATGGGGAGGAGGGAGGAAACGACTCTGGACTGGTGAGATGGGGAGGAGGGAGGACACGACTCTGGACTGGTGAGAGGGGGAGGAGGGAGGACACGACTCTGGACTGGTGAGGGGGGAGGAGGTGGGACACGACTCTGGACTGGTGAGGGGGGAGGAGGTGGGACACGACTCTGGACTGGTGAGAGGGGGGGCGGGGGGACACGACTCTGGACTGGTGAGGGGGGAGGAGGTGGGAGGAGTAGAAGGTCCTACAATATAATGCTTAAATCCCACTGATGATCTCAGATTGTGTTCCATTATATGATCTCTGACCATGATGTTGTTTCTGTTGCAGTATGTGGAGGATGATGAGTTTGTTGAAGCCATCAAAGCCTTCAGCTCTGTGAGGAAGGAACACACCATGTTCACAGACACACACCTCTAGATGGGGTACCCACACACACACTACAACCACCAACATCTGGGATCTCGACATACTACAACCGAACTGAAAACCCAGACCTCAACATACTAACCCCCATCAAAACATGAACACAAACCATGGACTTCAAACTGAAACCAGGAAACCCTGATCTCAAGTTAGGAATCCTGGATTCAGAACTGAAAGAATCCCAGGCTTTCTAAAATGTAAATACTTGTCATTATTACTTTATGCCAACTGTCATAACCTGGAAACAGCTAAACATTTGTGTGGAACTCAAAGCAATGCCTCTCACCTCTTTCATTTCAATCTAACAGTTAACCTACTGTAAGTGTGTGGTAACTGTGCCTAGTAGACCTAGCATCAAGGACATTTTTACATGGTATTTGTGACAAGACCATTTTTATAATCAGTGTAAAAGCCAACTATTTTTGTGTCTTAAATATATCCACAAATGTATAATCTGACAGTGTTTGGTTGATCAATGTTTTAGTAATATTTTTCTTGAGGTTAAGCATAGTGCTGTGTGGTGCTTGGACACCTAACATTGTGTTTCAAACTACACTACATGACCAAAAGTATGTGGACACCTGCTCGTCCACTCTTCTGGGAAGGCTTTCCACTAGATGTTGGAACTTGCTTCCATTCAGCCACAAAAGCCTTAGTGAGGTCGGGCACTTATGTTGGGCGATTAGGCCTGGATCGCAGTCGGCATTCCAATTCATTCCAAAGGTGTTCGATGGGGTTGAGGTCAGGGCTCTGTGCAGGCCAGTTAAGTTCTTCCACACCGATCGACAACCCATTTCTGTATGGACCTCGCTTTGTGCACGGGGGCATTGTCATGCTGAAACAGGAAAGGGCCTTCCCAAACTGTTGCGACAAAGTTGGAAGCACAGAATCGTCTAGTATGTCATTGTATGCTGTAGCGTTAAGATTTCCCTTCACTGGAACCATAAAAAACAGCCCCAGACCATTATTCCTCCTCCACCAAACTTTACAGTTGGCACTGGCATTCGGGCAGGTAGCGTTCTCCTGGCATCTGCCAAACCCAGATTTGTCCGTCAGACTGCCAGATGGTGAAGCTTGATTCATCACTCCAGAGAACGCGTTTCCACTGCTCCAGAGTCCAATGGCGGTGAGCTTTACACCACTCCAGCCGACTATTGGCATTGCGCATGGTGATCTTAGGCTTGTGTGCGGCTGCTTGGCCATGGAAGCCCATTTCATGAAACTCCCAACGAACAGTTCTTGTGCTGACGTTGCTTCCAGAGGCAGTTTGGAACTCTGTAGTGAGTGTTGCAACTGAGGACAGACGATTTTTACACGCTACGCGCTCCAGCACTCGGCGGTCCCGTTCTCTGAGCTTGTGTGGCCTACCACTTTGCGGTTGAGCCGTTGTTGATCCTAGACGTTTCCACTTCACAATAACAGCACTTACAGTTGACCGGGGAAACTCTAGTAGGGCAGACATTTTACGAACTGACTTGTTGGAAAGGTGGCATCCTATGACGGTGCCATGTTGAAAGTCACTGAGCTCTTCAGTAAGGCCATTCTACTGCAAATGGTTGTCTATGGAGATTGCATGGCTGGCTGCTTGATTTTATACACCTGTCAGCAACGGGTGTGGCTGAAATAGCCAAATCCACTAATATGAAGGGTTGTCCACATACTTTTGTATATATAGTGTATCATAGAGATTTTCAGCAAGTTTTCTTGGTACGCACTGTAAATAATGTTGTCGTCGTTTTGGTTTTTTACACTGGCAGTATTAATTTATTAATGTAAAGAGTATTATATATAGTGGATTGTTTTGTTCGTATGTGATCTGGCCTATGTTCATAATGTCTTATTACTGTGTTACATATCTCCATCTTCAACTTAGTCTTGAGTCAGCTGTTTAGTCCAGACAACTACGACAATCCTTAGACCAGACAATAGTTGGTTTGAGTAGACATCCTCCAGAGCAAGGTTTCCCAAACTCGGTCCTGGAGCCCAACACGTGCACCCAGAGGGGGCCCCAGGACAGAGTTTGTGAAACCCTGCACTAACGAGATGGCACATGGTTGGCTGTACAGTTGGATGATCTGTGTAGCGACATAGCTGAAGAGAGACAGGCCAATCTAGTGTCCTGGTTTAGATCTCTCTCCCACTCTGCCCCTGGCCTGGTTAGAACATAGACAAGGGCCAGTTGAATAAAACTAGTTCACACTTCTTGTGCAGCTTTGTGTAGAGCGCTGGGTTCATCAAAATTCTAGGTACTAGAATGCTTTTTTACTTTTTCATGATAAGACACGTCATATTCTATTGAATTCGTTTTTTTGAATGTCTCCGATTAATAATGTATTTGAGAAATAAATATTGTGATGTGACTTAAGAGTAAATGCTGCTGTTGTTGGTGGTATTAAAAACCAGGGGGTGGTACATGCACACACTTTGGCCAGAATTCCATCCCATGGCGCTTTTGTCGGCAATGCACGCTTTAAAGGCAATGTTCCTGCGTTCGCGGAGACCACATTAGAAATTACCTTTAAATGGCGCATTGTCCAAAAATCCGCGATCGGATTAAATCCTGGCCTTTAAAATAACCTCACTCACAACATCAAAATTAAATGTGTGGAAATCAAAAAGATTGGAGTGAGGCGTGAAAAAAAGTGCGATATGACACAGTTGTCCCAGTTGTGGTTGGTGTTGGAGGAAGGACAGACAGTTGATATACTGGGTTATTGTGTTTTACTCCATCAGTACAGACAGGAAACGTCATGAAGGACAGAAGCAGCAGTTAATAGTTACAGAACACACACACCTATTTCATCTCAACGCAGGGTAACAATTACTATGACGGGTGGTACATCGAGACATTACACTGACAAAAGCCTTATGAAAATGTCATCATTACCAACAGATAAACATAATGCTGTTGTCAACAACAGCATTTTGTGGAGTAACCAATATTAAAACCACACTAAACTGTATGAAGTTTAGACATCATATGTAGTAGGTGACAGATAGGCATACATTTATCATCGTACCTAGCGTTGTCTGAACCTTGAGTTTACACACATCCACAGATCCCTCTAGTGGAGTCACATTGTAGTACCTCAACCTGGCCACCCAAACCCCTCTACCAAGCAGTAGAACTGGAGCTGCAAAACTAAGGCCTGCCATTCAACTAGTTTTAGGTCCTCCATGTCAACCAATTCACATCACATACACGCATGCACACAGATACACACACAGGCCTAAGAGGATGGTATTTCAGCGAGCTGTGTAGCTGTCAATTTTGTTTTTATGTCCCTTTAAGGGACACACCAAACTGGCATTTACGACTGTGCCCCAACTCAAGGGCATAGTAGCACGTTCAGACACATTCACAGCTATTGTCAAAGTAAAGAATAGTGATTGTAGCAGACAGTATGGCCCTTGGCAGCTCACACATTCAGATGCAGCAACATCACTTTATTACACTCATAAATCACACAGCTATCAAACGCCATTTTCAGACAACAAAGTTGCTAACTTCTCTAAAAGGGAAGGTTATGCAGCCAGCACTGCTTCCAAGTGTGTTCAAGGCACCGTCTGGACCACACACACACACTTTGACAAGAGTAACCACACCAACCTGGTGCTCCCTCCCTGCGTTACCCACTGAAATATAACAGACATGTTGATCACATGACAGAGACTATGTCCAAAGACTTATGGCCTAGATTCATTCAGATCAAGCATTAACTGGCAATAGTGGACACCGGCATAGCTGTTGTTTTGGTGGTGTCGTAGGTATAACTGCTAAGAGCTGTCAAATCGGTGAGTAGCTGCTTGTGTGGTCATTATCATGAAGCCCGTCAAACCCGTCCCACTCGTGTTAGAAGTTCAGAAGGAGAAAGTGTAGGCTATATAGAAATAATGACGCTCAAATTGAAAATCATATTACGAAATAAGGATTTATGTCAGACTAACGGAGGTGTTTGTTACACCACACATTCCCATATAGCTCAGTTGGTAGAGCATGGCGCTTGCAATGCCAGGGTTGTGGGTTCGATTCCCATGGAGGACCAGTACGAAAAAAAGTATGAAAATGTATACACTCACTACTGTAAATCGCTCTGGATAAGAGCACTGCTAAATGACTAGGCTGCATGGGATTATTACTAATGCACCATTTGCTAATTTGACAGCTCCAACACAGTTACACCTCCAACATCGCCTAAATAAAAACTATGAAACTGCCATGCCGTTATCGCGGGTTAAGGCAGAACTGATTGAATCTAGCCCTATGAGTCAATGATTAGTTGAATCAGGTTTGTTATTGCTGGGATGGATCAAAAGCCTACATGCCCTGCAACCCTATTATACCAGGTTTGTGTGAATACTACTTTCCAGCTAAACCCAAACTGAACTATAGGGTTATAAATAGGTCCAGTGTCCGTCTTCAGACTTCATCCTTTCTAGTCAGCTCGAAGACACAACAGCAATTCAGTGCCAACAGGTGAATATTAGGCTAGTACTATACAATAGGCCAGTAAGCACTGATACATACTATATATAGCAACATAATAATGCGTTTGTACATACGTATTATACAAAATGTTATAACGTGCGACATAAATAGATCTATTTATTTTATTTCGTATCTGGATGGGGTGAAAGTGTAAACATAACCAGAGAAGAGATGTAGCTTAGGCCTAGATTCAATCTGATCACCACTATACAACTTTTAAAGGCAATGTTCCCACTTTCGCAGAGACCGCATTCACGGTAAACGCTGCATATGTCGGTTCAATAGGAAATTACCTTTAAAATGTCAAATCGCGCTATAAGGCGGATCGGAATAAATCCAGGCCTTAGACACAGAGAGGGACAGGCATTATTCCTCAAAGGGCTAAATATAATCTCATACCAAATAAAATGTTACTTAATCATTTAGTCTTCATAGTGCGAGTGCAAATGTAATTTAGGTACGATAAAATATATGATTCATATCAATATAGCTTATATGAGAACAAACAGACATGTCGCAAACAACAGCAAATATGTAGATAGTTACACAAATATTTAAATGCATCAGTATGGTTACATATACAGTACCAGTCAAAAGTTTGGACAGACCTACTCATTCCAGGGTTTTTCTTAATTTTTACTATTTTCTACATTGTAGAATAATAGTGAAGACATCAAAACTATGAAATAACACATGGAATCATGTAGTAAACAAAAACGTGCTAAATAAATCAAAATATATTTTATATTTGAGATGATTCAAAGTAGCCACCCTTTGCCTTGATGACATCTTTGCACACTCTTGGCATTCTCTCAACCAGCTTCATGAGGTAGTCACCTGGAATGCATTTCAATTAACATGTGTGCCTTGTTAAAAGTTAATTTGTGGAATTTCTTGCCTTCTTAATGCATCGGAGACAATCAGTTGTGTTGTGACAAGGTAGGGGTGGTATATAGAAGATAGCCCTATTTGGTAAAAGACCAAGTCCATATTATGGCAAGAACAGCTCAAATAAGCAAAGAGAAACGACAGGCCATCATTACTCTAAGACAAGTCAATCCGGAAAATGTCAAGAACTTTGAATGTTTTTTCAAGTGCAGTCTCAAAAACTGTCAAGCGCTATGATGAAACTGGCTCTCAAGAGGACCGCCACAGGAAAGGAAGACCCAGAGTTACCTCTGCTGCAGAGGATAAGTTCATTAGAGTTAACTGCACCTCAGATTGCAGCCCAAATAAATGCTTCACAGAGTTCACGTAACCAGACACATCTCAACATCAACTGTGCAGAGGAGACTGCATGAATCAGGCCTTCATGGTCGAATTGCTGCAAAGAAACCACTACTAAACGACATGCTTGGGCCAAGAAACACGAGCAATGGACATTAGACCGGTGGAAATCTGTCCTTTGGTCTGAAGTCCAAATTTTAGATTTTTGGTTCCAACCACCGTGTCTTTGTGAGACGCAGAGTAGGTGAACGGATAATTTCCGCATGTGTGGTTCCCACCGTGAAGCATGGAGGAGGTGGTGTGATGATGCTTTGCTGGTGACACTGTCAGTGATTTATTTAGAATTCAAGGCACACTTAACCAGCATGGCTACCACAGCATTCTGCAGCGATACGCCATCCAATCTGGTTTGCGCTTAGTGGGACTATCATTTGTTTTTCAACAGGACAATGACCCAACACACCTCCAGGCTGTGTAAGGGCTATTTGACCAAGAAGGAGAGTGATGGAGTGCTGCATCAGATGACCTGGCCTCCACAATCACCCAACCTCAACCCAATTGAGATGGTTTGGGATGAGTTGGACCGCGGAGTGAAGGAAAAGCGGCCAACAAGTGCTCAGCATATGTGGGAACTCCTTCAAGACTGTTGGAAAAGCATTCCAGGTGAAGCTGGTTGAGAGAATGCCAAGAGTGTGCAAAGCTGTCATCAAGGCAAAGGTGGCTACTTTGAAGAATCTCAAATATAAAATATATTTTGATTTGTTTAACACTTTTTTGGTTACTACATGATTTCATGTGTCATTTCATAGTTTTGATGTCTTCACTGTTATTCTACAATGTAGAAAATAGTAAAAATAAAGAAAAACCCTGTAATGAGTAGGTGTTTAAACTTTTGACTGGTACTGTATCTAATTTTGATTATATACAGTATAATCAGGTTGCATATTATTTAGATGTACATGTTGAACATTCCATCTCTTATTGAACATCTCTGTCTTGAACAGACCTGGGTCAAATACTGTACATTAAAATACAAGGGGTGCACTTGATTTAGAGTGTTGGCCAGAGTTTGCACTTTTGGGACTATTTCATTGGTTCCATTGTAGTGGACAAGCTAAATCAAGCGCACCTCAAGTTGCATGTACTTGACCCAGGTCTGGTCTAGTGATGGGGTGGAGGATGTCTTAGGATGTGATCTAAAGGATGGGCTCCATTGATCTCTCTCTCCCCTATTCGCTCTCTCCATCTGAGAGGTACCTTTGGGTGTCAGGAGTGACAATAATAGCAGCGATCCAACCTGTGACACCACTGGACAGTCAGAACTACAGACTACAAACAGACTGCCTTCAACCTTTGATCTAAGGCCTGGATTCAATCAGATCGAGCTTTAACCAGTGTTGGCCGACATCCGCATAGCAGATGTTTTGGAAGTGTATAACTGTATGAGCTGGCATATCGGTGAGCGGCTGCCCTTGTGTCACACACCACTCCCTTCCTTATTATCTCTATTGTGTTAGAAGTTCAAAACGGAGCTAGAAAGTGAAGGCTCTATCATGTTAGAAATCATTACTCATGTCAAACCATTGATGTTAGGCTGATGCATGTTTTCATGTTCATTTGGATGGGGGGGTTGTGCCTACCAGTCTAATTTGAGTGTTTGAACTTTAACGCGGCTGCATGGGATTTGTGGGATTCTAGTCGGGTGTGGTTTCGTTGCATCCAGTGGCAGGTAACTCAGCAAGCCGCTTGGGGATTTGACAGCTCTAACGCAGTTCCACCGCCAAAACAACGCTATGCGGACGCCAATCTGATTGAATCTAGCACGTAGACTCTAGATCCTCTCTACATCACTGAAAGGACAGGTGTATATTTAGATTATGGCTAATGTCAAAGGCACTACAAAATGTAATCCTCCTTACATTTAAAGAAACAATGCCATGGAAGGTCACATTGATCTTCAGCATGAGACACCTGTCAGTTTTGATAAAGAAAGTACTTATAAAGTGATTTACTGTGTAGTGTTGAATTCTTTCAGGTCTAAAACACAACACGCATGGCTACTGGCTGGTAGAACAGCATGACTGTGTTTTGTGTGAAGGTTCACAATCTGTGAACCCAAACTATGAGTTTGGGAAAGTGACCACAACCACAAGGGGGAAATAAACATATCTAGCACTTTGTGTTAACAGTCAATAAACGACATGCATCTAACACAGTCTGAATGATATCATGGACTATTGGAACCAACATTGGAGGTGCACCCTGGCTGTGACCTCACACTCCGAGGGTGTCTCCGGGAGAGTTGGGATATGCAAAATACACATTTCCAATTCACACATGTGTATTAATACACACTTGTACATGTATGAAATTAGGACAAATATAAGCACCCACCTAATTATTTATTATTATTAATTGTGTAGCGACCAGATACCAGCAATGATGGAGAGATATGAAGAGTTAAAGTCATGCTCTGAACTAGAAGATCATCCTTAGGCCAGTTAGCAACTTCCAGCAGGTGTCAAGTTTCTTCCTCTTGACTGAGAATATAGGGCTTTCTTTTGAGATGTCATACAAATCAAATCATGAGTGTTGCCTGTGAGATGAAGTTGCCCGCAGACACTGATCTAAGGTCAGTTCCTCCTAATGGTTAGGGTTGGGGAGGGTGGGCTGGTGCTAGATCTGTGTTTAGGGGGGTACCTTCTACCTGAAGCTGTTGACTGACTGACACATCAGAGCTGTCCTTCACTCACAGGCTGCTGTCCTGATTGGCTGGCTCACTGCTCTTCCTGTGTCGGGGGGAAGTGGAGGCCAGCTTGGTGGGGGAGGGGGATGCGGTGGAGGAGTCACTGCATCCCCCCTCAGACCCCCCTGAGGAGAGCGAGGAGAGCTGGGGGACGGGAGGTGCCCTCTTCCTGCCCAGAACCCCCCCATCAAACCCTCCCTTCCTTCTCACCTCAGACCTAGCCTCCACCCCTGATCCTAGCCCTGCCCCCTCCTCCTCCTCCTCCGATTGGACCCTTCGACGAACGTCTCCACCAGGGCTGTCAGGCAGTTGCCGTGACGATTCTGTGACACCCTCAGCTGCAGCGGCGTCTGTGACCATGGCAGCGTTAGCAACGACATTAGCATTAGCGGCGTTAGCGGTTCGGCTAGCCCAGAGCTCCATGGCAGAGCCCTTCCGCTCCGCCTCCTCTCCCCCAGCCTCACACAGCGACCGGGTTCTGGCCTCTGTACCTGGGCGTGCCCCCTGTCCTGGAGCCTGTTCAGGGCTCTCCAGCAGGCCTTTCCCTAGCGAGAAGTTCTGGAAGTCTCTGTAGTTGTGGAAAGACTCTGTGCGACGGGCTCGGGCCAGCAGTGGGCTCTCTCTGTAGGGTCGCAGAGATTCGTAGGTGGCCGTCTCTGGAATGGGCTCCTGGGCCTGCAGCTGGAGGCTGGAGAGAGAAAGCGAGAATGGGGGTCAGAGAAATAGATATAGACAACATGAAAAAGACACAAGTAGACAGACAAACGTGCACAACATAAAGAGTCAGAGACTGACCTGGAGCAGGACTCTCGGAGACGGCTGTGCTGCAGCACCGAGGGGGCGGGGCTGATGTTGGGCGTGGCACAGCGGGAGGTGCTGAGGTCACACTGGTCCAATAGCTGAAGCAGCTCCTCTTCAGTTGGCCCGCCCACTTCTGTCAATCAAACACATAATTTATCAGTGTCAAACTAAATGTGAAAACAAAGTGTCAATGACTAATCAAATCAAATGTTATTTGTCAAATGCTTCATAAACAACACGTTTAGACTAACAGTGAAATGCTTACTTACGTCCCTTCCCAACAATGCAGAGAGAAAAATATACATGGGGTACCAGTACTGAGTCGATGTGCAGGGGTACGAGGTAATTGAGGTAGGGGTAAAGTGACTAGGGAACAGGATAGATAATAAACAGACTACAAGCCATGGATATGTACAATGCCCTCAGATGCATATGTTCCTACACAAATTACTTGTTATCTTTTCACACACACACACACACACACACACACACACACACACACTCCTCACCATCTTTCTTCTTCTCCTCCCTCTTGTTGGCGGTGTCCATAGCGGTGGTGAGGTCCCACATCTGAATGCTGCCATTGCCATGGCCCGTGAACAGGTACCTCCTGGGTCTAGAACCCATCCTGCTAGAACCCTCACACTCCCTAACCGTGAAACACGAGATGGTCGTCCCATCCACTGCTGCCACCTCACAGATCCTTGCAGGGACAACCAGGACAGACCACATCAGACTGGAATAGACCAGAACTGACTGCATTCAGACCAGAACAGAGCAGCCACAGTTCTGGTAGCTCAGTGTGTTGGAGCCATATAATTAGGAATTAGAATACTATAGTAATAGTAAATTAATAGTCATTTAATAGGATTTCTATGGTTGGAGCATAGTGCTAACAACACTTGGGTTATAGGTTGTATGCCTACTTGGACCACATTTGATGAATTTAAGTGTGTTTACTGTGAGCTGGATGAACGTGCTAAATGACCATGTTTATCAGACAAGGCTATAACATCATGATATGTTCAGTAGATGTTGTGTGAGTATAACTGATGTGTAATACCTTTTCCCAGTGGAGGAGAGGCGAACAAACAGCTTGTTGGTGACGGGGATGACCTTCTGAATAAACACCTGCTGGTCGTCTCTCTCCCCAAACGGACCTGAGGGGAGACCACACCACCCGGGATACTGGGCTCTAGACCCACTGTTATACCCTATCATGCCCACCCAAACCAAACTGCTGGCTCCCCATTATCATTTTAAGCACAGTTCCAGCAACTATGGTGGATGCGCAACCAGGCCCGGCTCAGTACAGCTTGGTTAGGTTCAGCTCGGTTCAGCTCAGTAGTGTGAAAAGCCCTTCATAGAGGGAGATGGCACCAGTCTCACTGGGATTTAGACCCACACGGACACTAGGCTCTCTAGACCATTGCTAGATTTACTTTAACAATTGTCTATCCCCCCTTCCATTTACCATATATATTCCCTTTCTCCTCCCCTCCCTCTCCCCATCCCGCTCCCTCTCTCACCAATGTCGTTGCCTGATGAGTAGCTGCCGTGGCTCTCAGTCTCCTCCAATGAGAGGATCTTAAAGGAGGCGAGGGGGGTGGAGCCAGGCTGCGTGGAGATCATGCCACGGAACCGCGTCACTGTCCACGTACGCACATGGTTGTTGTCCGCACACACTTAAAAGGAGACAAACACACACACACACGGACAGACACACACACACACACACACACACACGGACAGACACACACACACGGACAGACACACACACACACGGACAGACACACACACAGAATGTATATGAAACACAGCCATTATCATACAGATATATTATCAGCATCATCCCTGTTCTTTTCTTATCCCGCTTCCATAATAACTGTTGTTGAGCGATTAACTGAAATGTCGGTTATTTTTTATTTTTTAAACAACTAATTGACCGATGTCGGTTCAATTATTTGAATTCCATTTCGTTGAAGTTTTTTCTGTGAGCTCAATGTGCACATTGTGCTGCAGTTTATCTAGAGATAAATCAGATCGTGCCCGAACTGTGCGATGTAGTAGGAAGTTGTAGTTTCCAACAGGCCAATATTCTACATAGTTTAGCGCAGAAAATGTGATAATGAACTACAATGACCATAATCCATTGCGCGCCTACGTGTCTGGTCTGTGTTTCTTTTACGCCTGCAACGTAAGAGACAGAAGGATGCGCGATTAAGAGGGGATACATAGAGAGCAGTTGCATTGCCAGGTATTTTTACTTGAAAATACTGTACATGATCTAAGTGCATCACACTGCTGTCTTTCCTCTTTATTATTGGATGTAAATGATTTATTTTAACATATACTGAACAAAAATATTAACACAACATGCAACCCAGCAGGGTTGCATGTTGAAGCTAAGCAGGGTTGGTCCTGGTCGGTCCCTGGATGGGAGACCAGATGCTGCTGGAAGTGGTGTTGGAGGGCCAGTAGGAAGCACTCTTTCCTCTGCCCCCGCCCCCCCCCCCCAAAAAAAAAATGTGTTTATCCCAAAGTCCCAGGGCAGTGATTGGGGACATTGCCCTGTGTAGGGTGCCGTCTTTCGGATGGGACGTTAAACGGGTGTCCTAACTCTCTGTGGTCACTAAAGATACCATGGCACTTATCGTAAGAATAGGGGTGTTAACCACGGTGGCCTGGCTAAATTCCCAATCTGGCCCTCATACCATCATGGCCACCTAATTATCCCCAGTTTCCAATTGGCTCCTTCATCCCCCATCCGCTCCCCTGTAACTATTCCCCAGGTCGTTGCTATAAATGAGAATGTCCTCTCAGTCAACTTACCTGGTAAAATAAAAAAAAGTGATTGATAGTTGGTATTCAGCAGTCATAAAAGTATGCCTTATTTACTTTGAAGAACTACTAAAATAGTGATTTTGTCAGGCAGCAGCTCTATAGAGATGAGGAGTTGGAATTAAATAATAATGTCATCAAATAAAACAAATGTAATATACACAACAACTGAAATATTTTATTAAAGTAATGGGAATAAATTATGGTTAATAAGTGATAATCAGTAATGGGCAGTCACTACCATCATGGGACTTTTATTCATTGTGTTATTCTGTGTTGTTACAGCATTCAACCCACATAATGCATAGTGCATTTAATGTAAATAATAAAACATAAATTGTGATTATTTTTGTAATAATCGAACCCGAACAGACCTCCAAAAGCACTAATTGCTCAGCACTAATAAATCAACAAAAAAATATCACTATATTTCCCTTGTTCCTTCCCCCTCAGGAGACTGAAAAGATTTGGCATGGGTCCTCAGATCCTCAAAAAAATTATACAGCTGCACCATCGAGAGCATCCTGACTGGTTGCATCACCGCCTGGTATGGCAACTGCTTGGCCTCCGACCGCAAGGCACTACAGAGGGTAGTGCGTACGGCCCAGTACATCACTGGGGCAAAGCTTCCTGCCATCCAGGACCTCTATACCAGGCGGTGTCAGAGGAAGGCCCTCAAAATTGTCAAAGACTCCAGCCACCCTAGTCATAGACTGTTCTCTCTGCTACCGCACGGCAAGCGGTACCGGAGTGCCAAGTCTAGGTCCAAAAGACTTCTCAACAGCTTCTACCCCCAAGCCATAAGACTCTTGAACAGCTAATCATGGCTACCCGGACTATTTGCACTGCCCCCCCACCCCATCATTTTACGCTGCTGCTACTCTGTTAATTATTTATGCATGGTCACTTTAACTCTACCCACATGTACATATTACTTCAACTACCTCAACTAGCCGGTGCCCCCGCACATTGACTCTGCACCGGTACCCCCCTGTATATATAGCCTCCCTACTGTTATTTTATTTTACTTCTGCTCTTTTTTTCTCAACACTTTTTTTGTTGTTGTTTTATTTGTACTTTTTTTGTTAAAAATAAATGCACTGTTGGTTAAGGGCTGTAAGTAAGCATTTCACTGTAATGTCTGCACCTGTTGTATTCGGCGCATGTGGCCAATACAATTTGATTTGATTTGATTTGATTTACCTGAGACTAGGTGTTTCTCAGAGAGCATGATCTTGGTGACAGGGGAGCGGTGGACAGTAAAGGTCTGGAAGAGCTGAGGTCCAGAGCCTACTGTCTCAGGGTGTTGGACTATGACCCGCACTGCTCCAGAACTGGTCCCATACGCTATCTCTATCCAGTTACCACTCACACCTAGAGAGAGAGAGAGAGAGGGAGAAAGAAAGAGAGTGAGAGAGGCAGAGAGAGAGAAAGAAAGAGAGTGAGAGAGGCAGAGAGAGAGAAAGAAAGAGAGTGAGAGAGGCAGAGAGAGAGAAAGAAAGAGACACATACAGTGGGGAAAAAAAGTATTTAGTCAGCCACCAATTGTGCAAGTTCTCCCACTTAAAAAGATGAGAGAGGCCTGTAATTTTCATCATAGGTACACATCAACTACGACAGACAAAATGAGATTTTTTTTTCCAGAAAATCACATTGTAGGATTTTTAATGAATTTATTTGCAAATTATGGTGGAAAATAAGTATTTGGTCAATAACAAAAGTTTCTCAATACTTTGTTATATACCCTTTGTTGGCAATGACACAGGTCAAATGTTTTCTGGAGTGGCCTAGCCAGTCTCCAGATCTCAACCCCATAGAAAATCTTTGGAGGGAGTTGAAAGTCCGTGTTGCCCAGCGACAGCCCCAAAACATCACTGCTCTAGAGGATATCTGCATGGAGGAATGGGCCAAAATACCAGCAACAGTGTGTGAAAACCTTGTGAAGACTTACAGAAAACGTTTGACCTGTGTCATTGCCAACAAAGGGTATATAACAAAGTATTGAGAAACTTTTGTTATTGACCAAATACTTATTTTCCACCATAATTTGCAAATAAATTCATTAAAAATCCTACAATGTGATTTTCTCGATTTATTTTTCTCATTTTGTCTGTCATAGTTGACGTGTACCTATGATGAAAATTACAGGTCTCTCTCATCTTTTTAAGTGGGAGAACTTGCACAATTGGTGGCTGACTAAATACTTTTTTCCCCCACTGTATGCACACAAACTGATCCACCGAATGAACCTTATCACACCAATGAGCTCTAGGATCCAAATTCACAGCGTCTGCCTTGATGTTCATAAAAATCCACGGACCCCCTGTTGCGCAGTGGAACCCAGAACGATATGTGACCACTTAGTTACAGTGCTGTCCTTTCTGCACCACGATTTGAAGGGTGCTCAAATCAATTAAAATAACCTTCATCAATATCTGTTGCCTACGCCTAATAGTCCTACTTATCACTAGGACGGCAGATAGCCTAGCGGTTAAGAGTGCTGGGCCAGTACGTGAAAAACCTGTTGATGTGCCCTTAACCCTAATTGCTCCTGTAAATTGATCTGGATAAGAGCGTCCTCTAAATGACTAAAATGTAAAATCACTTATTATTATTACAAATAGAAGATTATCACTTCTCACAATGGTGCTTGTTAGTAAAAAACTCCTCATGTGGCCAGAACTCAACAGCGCGCCACTAGGCAGGATATATGCACTGACTCAAACAAAATAAAAGAAAGGCTAATGGTTTGTTAACACCATCTGCTTTAATTTGCTCACGAAACAGTAATTCCAGAAGATCTAAGTGCATATTCCCATGAAACTGAATGAGATCAAATTAGTGGCATGCAGTTATCGTTATCATTCACAATGAACAGTTATGCAATTGGATGATGCATGTTATGTATAGGCCTATTCTACAATGATATTCAATAGGCTACATATGTCAGTAGGCTACAAACTTTGAGAATTTATGACGTCATTAAAAAAAAATGGCGCTCCCTCGTCTAACAAAAGAAAAAAAACTATTCGTACTTCATATTACAACACTGTGCATAGAGAGAGAGAGAGAGAGAGAGATAAGATGTCACAAAAGATCATTGCTAAGAAAGGCTGAACCCCAACGAAGACGGAAATATATTATTTGTGTGTGTGCATGCATGTACACGTGCGTGTTTGAGAGTGTGTGTCTGTCTGTGTACTCACTGGTCTTGGGTGTGAGGTAGACACTGAGGGCAGTGATGGCGTCGTTAGATGGGTCGTGGTACAGCTCTGTCACCAACAGATCATTATCCTTCATCCTCAAAGGAAACTTTTGCATGTCTGAGAGAGAGAGAGAAGAGAGAGAGAACATATATGAAACCAACAAGGGCTGGGGTCAATTCCATTTCAATTCAGGAAGTAAACAAAACATCTAATTCCACTTCCTGAATTAACTGTGTGTTTGTACCTATATAGTAGATGGAGCCGTTGTTGCAGCCCAGAAGCAGGAAGGAGCCAGCTGTGTCACAGCTGGTGATGGGAACTACATCTTGCACCTGATGGAGAGAAAATAAAGGGTTAAACTCTCTCTCTTTCACACACTGTCAAACACACACAGCCACACACACCCTATGTATTCCTACCTGCCAGTGCTGTGTGACAGCATTCCAGACCCCCACCTTCCCAGTGTGACTGGTGGCCACCAGCTGGTTCCCAATGAAGAACAGATGATCTACTGGTACACCAAGACTAAACACACCTAGAGAGAGAGAATTGGGGGAGAGAGAGAGGGGGGGAAAGGGGGAGAGATAGGGGGGAAGAGAGAGAGGGGGGAAAGGGGGAGAGATAGGGGGAAGAGAGAGAGGGGGGAAAGAGAGGGGGGGAAAGAAAGATAGGGGGGAAAGAAAGAGAGGGGGGTAAAGAGAGAGGAGGGAAAGAGAGAGAGGGGGAAGAGAGAGGAGGGGAAATAGAGAGAGGGGGGAGAGAGCGAGAAGGGGGGAAGAGAGAGGGGGGAAAGAGCGAGAGGGGGGAAAGAGAGAGAGGGAGGAAGAGAGAGAGAGGGAGGAAGAGAGAGAAGGAGGAAGAGAGAGAGGGAAAGAGAGAGAGGGGGAAAGAGTGAGTCAATAACACACACACACAAACATGTCTCTCTTTCACAAACAATCTCTCAAACACACACCCCCCTACCAATCTCTCAAACACACCCCCTACCTATCTCATTGCCACTCCCTCCGTCCTGGATGCTCCAGAGGATGATGTTGCTATCGGAGGCGGCTGCCACCATCTTGTCCTTATCGCCATGGGGACCGCCTACCACCTTAAAAACAATACATTTGATTGATAACGCAACTTTCAGGACAATCCATTGTGATTTTAGCAGTATAACAGTACCTTGGCGTTGAGAGCGATTCTCTCAGTGGACCAGTCCAGATAGGGGCTAGAAAACACCTGCTGCCACCCTGACGACTCCTTTATCCTGGAGTGGAGAACACACACACACAAGACTTTGGAGGAGTATAATCTATCAATAATATCAACTTTGAGTTGATGGATCCAACTACTAATGCCAGTGTTACCTGTAACAGATGACAAAGTGTGCATAAGCCACTACGATCCAGTTATGATGTCCAGCTACAATCAGCACCTTCCTAGGATCCACCACAGCACCTGGAAACATAGCACAACACATGTACTAACAGCCTGGACACACACAGTGCTGTACAATGTACAGGTAACTACCAAAGTAATGGAAATACTTGAGTAATTGAGGGATACAAAGTATATTGAAAGCAGGTGCTTTCACACAGGTGTGGTTCCTGAGTTAATTAAGTAATATCATCCCATCATGCTTAGGGAAATGCTAGGCAGGCCATTATTTTGGCTACCATGGGTATGCCCCCACAGGATGACAATGTCCCAATCCACAGGGCACGAGCGCTCATTGAATGTTTGATGAGCATGAAAACGATGTAAACCATATGCCATGGCCGTCTCAGTCACCAGATCTCCACCCAATTGAACACTTATGGGAGATTCTAGAGCGGCGCCTGAGACAGCATTTTCCACCACCATCAACAAAACACCAAATTATGGAATTTCTCATGGAAGAATGGTGTCGCAGCCCTCCAATAGCGTTCCATCCAGACACTTGTAGAATCTATGCCAAGGTGCATTGAATCTGTTCTGGCTCTTTATGTTGGTGTTTCCTTTAGTTTGGCAGTTACCTGGTTGAGGTAGGCCGGTCCTGGTACCATTTTTCCATTCCCATCATTTTACCCTACTTCTTATGCTAGACATGCTCTGTACATTACCATGATTGCGCAATAATGCTTACAAATCAAATCAACTTTTATTAGTCACATGGGCCGAATACAACAGGTGTAGACTTTACAGTGAAATGCTTACTTACAAGCCCTTAACCAACAATGCAGTTTTAAGAAAAATAAGTGTTAAGTAATAAATAGATAAGTAAATATAAAAAATAAGAAAAATAACACATAATTAAAGAGCAGCAGTAAAATAACAGTAGTAAGGCTATATACAGGGGGTACCAGTACAGAGTCAATGTGTCGGAGGCACAGGTTAGTCGAGGTAATTGAGGTAATATGTACATCTGGGTAGAGGTAAAGTGACTATGCATTAATAATAAACAGAGAGTAGCAGCAGCGTAAAATGAGGGGATAGTCCGGTTAGCCATTTGATTAGCTGTTCAGGAGTCTTATGGCTTGGGGGTAGAAGCTGTTAAGAAGCCTTTTGGACCTAGACTTGGCGCTCTGGTACCGCTTGCCGTGCGGTAGCAGAGAGAACAGTCTATGACTAGGGTGGCTGGAGTCTTTGGCAATTTTTAGGGCCTTCCTCTGACACCGCCTGGTAAAGAGGTCCTAGATGGCAGGAAGCTTGGCCCCAGTGATGTACTGGGCCATACGCACTACCCTCTGTAGTGCCTTACGGTCGGAGGCTGAGCAGTTGCCATACCAGGCGGTGATGCAATCAGTCAGGATGCTCTCGATGGTGCAGCTGTAGAACTTTTTGAGGATCTGAGGACCCATGCTAAATCTTTTCAGTCTCCTGAGGGGGAATAGGCTTTGTTGTGCCCTCTTCACGACTGTCTTGGTGTGTTTGGACCATGATAGTTTGTTGGTGATGTGGACACCAAGGAACTTGAAGCTCTCAACCTGCTCCACTACAGCCCTGTCGATGAGAATGGGGGCGTGCTCGGTCCTCCTTTTCCTGTAGTCCACAATCATCTCCTTTGTCTTGATCACGTTGAGAGAGAGGTTGTTATCCTGGCACCACACGGCCAGGTCTCTGACCTCCTCCCTATAGGCTGTCTCATCGTTGTCGGTGATCAGGCCTACCACTGTTGTGTCGTCTGCAAACGTAATGGTGTTGGAGTCATGCTTGGCCATGCAATCATGGTTGAACAGGGAGTACAGGAGGGAACTGAGCACACACCCCTGAGGGGCCCCCGTGTTGAGGATCAGCATGGCAGATGTGTTGTTACCTACACTTACTACCTGGGAGCGGCCTGTCAGGAAGTCCAGTTGCAGAGGGAGGTGTTTAGTCCCAGGGTCCTTAGCTTAGTGATGAGCTTTGAGGGCACTATGGTGTTGAACGCTGAGCTGTAGTCAATGAATAGCATACTCACGTAGGTGTTCCTTTAGTCCAGGTGTGAAAAGGCAGTGTGGAGCGCAATAGAGATTGCATCATCTGTGGATCTGTTGGAACTGATCACACAGTCGTCCGGAACAGCTGACGCTCTCATGCATGCTTCAGTGTTGCTTGCCTCGAAGTAGGCTAATGTATTGCTCGTCTGGTAGGCTAATGTCACTGGGCAGCTCGCGGCTGTGCTTCCCTTTGTAGTCCGTAATAGTTTGCAAGCCCTGTCACATCCGACGAGCGTCGGAGCCGGTGTAGTACGATTCAATCTTAGTCCTGTATTGACGCTTTGCCTGTTTGATGGTTCGTCGGAGGGCATAGCGGGATTTATTATAAGTATCTGGGTTAGAGTCCCACTCCTTGAAAGCGGAAGCTTAACCCTTTAGCTCAGTGCGGATGTTGCCTGTAATCCATGGCTTCTGGTTGGGGTATGTACGTCCGGTGACTGTGGGGACGACGTCATCGATGCACTTATTGATGAAGCCAGTGACTGATGTGGTGTACTCCTCAATGCCATCGGAAGAATCCCAGAACATATTCCAGTCTGTGCTAGCAAAACAGTCCTGTAGCTTAGCATCTGTGTCATCTGACCACTTCTGTATTGAGCGAGTCACTGGTACTTCCTGCTTTAGTTTTTGCTTGTAAGTAGGAATCAGGAGGATAGAGTTATGGTCAGATTTGCCAAATGGAGGGCGAGGGAGAGGGAGAGGTTTGTACGCGTCTCTGTGTGTGGAGTAAAGGTGGTCTTGAGTTTTTTTCCTCTGGTTGCACATTTAACATGCTGGTAGAAATGAGGTAAAACGGATTTAAGTTTCCCTGCATTAAAGTCCCCGACCACTAGGAGCGCCGCCTCTGGATGAGCATTTTCTTGTTTGCTTATGGCCTTATACAGCTTGTTATAATAATAATAATAATAATAATATGCCATTTAGCAGACGCTTTTATCCAAAGCGACTTACAGTCATGCGTGCATAAATGTTTGTGTATTGGTGGTCCCGGGGATCGAACCCACTACCTTGGCGTTACAAGCGCCGTGCTCTACCAGCTGAGCTACAGAGGACCACTTGTTGAGTGCGGTCTTAGTGCCAGCATCGGTTTGTGGTGGTAAATAGACAGCTACGAAAAATATAGATGAAAACTCTTGGTAAATAGTGTGGTCTACAGCTTATCATGAGATCCTCTACCTCGGGCGAGCAAAACTTTGAGACTTCCTTAATATTAGATTTCGTGCACCAGCTGTTATATATAAATATACACAGACCACCACCCCTTATCTTACCGGAGGCAGCTGTTCTATTTTGCTGATGCACCAAAAACCCCGCCAGCTGTATGTTTTCCATGTCGTCGTTCAGCCACGACTTGGTGAAACTATATTACAGTTTTTAATGTCCAGTTGGTAGGATATTCTTGATCGGAGCTCATCCATTTTATTATCCAATGATTGTACGTTGACTAATAGGATTGATGGTAGAGGCAGATTATCCAATCGCCGTCGGATCCTTACAAGGCACCCCGACCTACTTCCCCGATATCTCCGTCTCTTCTTCATGCGAATGACGGGGATTTGGGCCTTGTCGGGTGTCTGAAGTAAATCCTTCGCGTCTGACTCGTTAAAGAAGAAATCTTCATCCAGTACCAAGTGAGTAATCGCTGTCCTGCTATCCAGAAGCTCTTTTCGGTCATAAGAGATAATGGCATAAGTTACAAATAAATAAGTTACAAATAACGCAAAAAAACACACACAACAGCACAATTGGTTAGGAGCCCATAAAACGGCAGCCATCTTCTCCAGAGCCATTCTCCCATTCTTCTCATTTATGCAATGTGATTTTAGAAAGTCTGGGTCAGGGTGTCAACAAAATGTTATGTCGTCATCAATATAATTAATAGGATAATTCAGCTCTGTGCCGAGCATGTGCATACTACACCGAGAGCCCTCTCAAGCTCTCTGAACTCCAGCTTAAACTGGCTCTGGCTCTAACACACACAGCCCATCTCAGAACTAGGCTAACTGTGAGCTTTTAACTCTGGTGCTTCTTACCCCCATCCAGACTGTGTCAGGTCATGTTAACTCCAGCTGTAACGCAGCCGCACACCAAGGTTCCGTTAGGAAAATGTGGCGCCGGACATTTGACCAGCAACATTTTAATTTACCGGACATTTGAGAACTTTACCAGACCCATATGCATTGGGTGCGTAACCTGATTAGGGTGTCCATCCACGGTGCTCAGAATGAAAGAAAACACACTTAGAATATGGTAATTCATATTAACAGTACATGCAAGTTGAGGATGCAATGGTCCTTACCGAATTCTAATGTGCACTTTGAACATGTTAGAATACCTGTCTACATTTACTTTTCCTCAGCCAACAAGACAAGTAACAAACAGCAAAATCACTAGCCTATGACAATCTACTATAGTAGAAAAGTTTAGGCTACCTATTCTATAGGTCAGCTTGCCGAGAAAGAAATAGCCTATTCCAAACAGACTCTGGGACAGTTATGGGATGATAGATCCCAAATTCATACAACCAGTAGGCCTAGGCTACTTCTTTTTTTTTTTTTTATGTTAAAAAGCAATGAGTCTGATGCAACCGTTCAGAACTTTTAGCTTAAAATGTTGATAAACTATTATATCTTCACATTCAGTGGCGACCCGTCATTCAGGGCAGGTGGGGCAGAGCCTAAAATATTGGCCAAAAAAAAAGGGCTTGCCTGTTTTGCATGTTATTTTGGCATTAATACGTGTCACATATCAGTTTGCAAACAATGTTAAAAAAAATAAAACATCATTGAGTTAATAAAGCCACATACAAACATGGTCTCTTTTTTGCTTTCTTGAGTAAGGCAGCTCCAAAATGCAGGTGTTTCAGCCTAGCTCAGTGCATTCTGTGGTGGTGGGGCAGCCAGCGGAAAATATGGAGCGTAGGTGTTGGTAATGTTCTCTAGTTACGCTATGATTAGCTCAGTGTTCTGTCACTTGTTGGGACAGTATGTCGCCGCCAAGTCTAAGGGTAGAGCTCGAAAATTCAAGCCCCTTGGGTGCTGCCATAGACTTACATTAGAAGTGCCCATCCAAGAAGGCTCAAGGTCATTGGCCACAGATAAAATGATGTCTAATCACGTTATATCTACAGTAGCTTTGATTGGACTGATCATGTCAACATCATACTTTCAAAATCTTAGCTAGCAGTCTTCATCATGAATCAAGTCGACAATCTACTGGCAAATCCTTTTTAATTCTTGTCATATGAAGATAAATAATTATAGATAAAACGTATCGGTGCTCATCGGCCATTGGACATAAACATTACACAATAAGTTGGAAATTGCAAATTCAACAATGAGTGGATTGGAAGGAATCAGTGACAGTGGCTAACTGCAAGCATTGCAAAGCAATCACTAGCCTGCTATTCAGTGGAGTGGCTGTGTGGTCCCAAATCTGGGATTAAGGGTCTCTTTTCCAAGTTTAAAATGATAAACATTCAACATTGGCCATGCTGTCAATGAAGCATGATTTGTGCCGTGCTCAAAACAACTGTTAACTCCGAACTGCGAAAACTTGACTTCAGTGAGTTCAAGACAATTGGGAAGTCGGGAAAGAACTAGCTCCGACTGGGAAAATACGTTTTGAACGGTTAGCCAGCTCAGAATTGTAAATCCGGAACTCGGGCCTCTTTCTAGAGCTACGACCTGAAGGTCAATGACGTCATCATGATTCAACCTTGTTTTTTTTACGGCCCATGTTCTGAATTCTGTCGCTGTACATTTCAAAAGTGCTGAACAAATAGTTACATTGACTACGTCCGTCCTAGCTCACGCATTAATGTCTTAATCGAAATTACGGATTGCCTCTTATCCACTTGTCGTCCCCTTATGCCATAGTTTGTCCATCTCAATTGTCATTAGAAACCACATTTGTTTAAGCAAGTCAGCCATATCAGCTATGTTTTTTTTTTAAAGCAGTAAATGAGGCTGAATGAACTGTTTCACTGCCAGACAAGGCTCCGCTGATAGCTAGGTGTAGCAGTGGTAAGATATTGGGACTCTGCTGTTGGGACAGCTTTATGTAGGCCCTAACAGTTTGTGGACACCGTTTGTCACCGGTATAGTGCAATTAATGTATTGTTTAGTGTTGTGTAGTAGCTTTTCTGGCATGCATCCCACCATTTTTTTTTTTTTTTGCCCCACCAAGATTTATATGCTAAAATCGTCACTGTTCACATTATAAGCATAGCAATGCACACAAGGCAGTAGGCTACACGCGAATGATCGTCCCATAATGCAATTACTGGGAAAACACAGTTTTCAAAAGGGCACTGCAAATGCGAGCGGTTTCATGTGACAGAGAGTAAAATATCCATTAGGAATTTAGAAAGAGGATATCTTTTTTATCTTTGAAGCAAGGTAAAACATGCCTCATAATATGTATTAAAACGTCCTAGTTTCAAACAATTAAGTATATGTTTTCAAAATGCATATTACCTCCAGCACATTCCAAAGCGGTGTGTGACGCGCTGATGAAGCCTGCCTTCCGTTGCCGATTAACGCTGTGTTCAAAACAACTGGGAACTCGGAAATCTCAGACTTCTAAGCGTTCAAGACAACTGAGAAAAATTGTTTTAAACGGTCAGCCAACTCGGAATTCCAACTCAGGAACTTGGGCCTCTTTCTAGACGTCATGATTTCACCTCGTATTTTTCAGAGTTCCCAGTTGCCTTGAAAGCACCACAAGATGCTACAGCAGCAGCTCTTGCGCCAGCTGACAGATTTTCCACTCAAAGGCTCTATATCTGTATGCTGTACACTTGTGATAAATAAGATAAATTATGAATATACTGTACACACATGCCAATTTAATTTCACAAAATTATGCAAATGAACCTATAGACCGATAAGCATGACCAGTCAAATGTATTTCCATCGACTGGTATTTCCATCAATGAATAGGCTAAAAAGCACTATTTCGCAATGGGATTTTTTCTTCTTCTCCTGAACAATTGGTGGCGCCAATTTTATTTATCGGCTTTTCTATTTTAAAAAAATATCGGACAAAAGCTGGCTATTACACGCTAACGGAAACCAGTGGTAGGACTGAGTATTCTGATTGGTCGTTAAACAGGCACACAGAGTTCTAAGGAGTCTGGGGAGTAGAACAGCCCAGCCCCAGCCCTGCTCCACACCTCATTACACACACCCCTTGCCCCCACCCTTATTTTTTAACCTTTAACTGCCCCCCTGCTTACCCAGTCTGTGTGGCCCCTCGGCTCCAGGTGGTCCAGGAAGGGAGGGGTGGGGGGGACAGGTTTGGGGGAACCCCCCCTCTGCTCCACTAGGACCAGGCCGATCCTCAACGGCAAGGCCAGAGGCTGCAGGGGTGGGGCTAGACTTACGGGCTGGGAGAGCTGTGGGAGCAACACATTCTTCAATCCACCAATCAACCAACTAACTAATTAAATAATACATCAAATTCTACATTACTAACACATTTTATAAACGTCAAAAATACCAAAAGTACAAAGACCAAACTAACACTAGAAAGAGCCTCACTAGAGCACTCAGAGGGATAAGAGAGATGGAGAGAGAATACAATGTCCTGTAATTCACCTGTGCCAGAGGATACAGAATTCCAGGTTAGAGGAGTTGTGGGAATACTGTACCTGGAGGTGGGAGGTATCCATGGAACAGAACACTGCCACAGGACGAACGTTCTATTTCCTCACACAGCAGCAACCTCCTCACTGAAGACAGGCACCACAACACAAGAGGCAGATATTCAGAAATACTTCAGAAACCGGACATAATTATGCCACCAAATCAGAACTTTGTGTCAGGAAAGTAGTTTTATATTGTATATTTTATCTAGGTAGGTATACTGTATCTGATAGCTAATAGGTAAGTGGACAAGGTCAAACTATAAAGTGATTCTTATTTGTGTTTTTTCCCAGATTAGCTCAAGACATTAAGTGAGGTTATAGCAAATAAATAACTATATAATACCATAGTAATCCTAGTAATACCACGTAGTAGCATAGTAATTATTCAATTTAGTGCATGGAGGCCATACCTAATGGCGTTATCCCATAAAACTCAGCTTCATGGCGGAGAATGTTAATGTTTACCCCCCTACGAAGAGAAGAGAACATCAGTCATAAGACCTAACCTGGCTCAATATGCTTCGCCATAATATAGACTACATACACATGTTGATCCTGTATGTAGGGAGGGTCAGGTGTTCTTACCGTAAGTCTAACTCTTTGGTTCGAAGGAAATTCAAGATGGACACAAAGGCTGTTGGGTCCCTGTCAATAAATATCTAGAGGACAAGAGGGACATTTAGAAGTCATGTTTGTTGTTGTTTTTGTTTTGGGGGGGGGGGAGTAAATAACATTGGTACAATTTACATATACAGTAATATCACTGTATGAAAGTGTGTAACAGAGTACATCTGTGGAATGTTTAGTCCCACGTCCAAAAAACATTGAAACATGTTTGTTTATGTAATAGAAAGACTCAGAACTCACAGCTCCAGTTTCATCCAGTAGAGATGATATTCTCCCACTCAGCAAACTGAAACACACACAGGCACATACACACACTTAACCTCGTGCTCTAGTTAGCCCGTTAAAAGCTCATCTCAGCTTTCACTCTGGCTTTATGTCAACTGTGGGGCAATCCTGTAGTCCTAACACTGTTTGATACAATGTACATTATCAAGATTGAATCGCTGGGAGATCAACATGAAGTGAACTGGGTCACCTTTCCAGAGCTGTAGCCAGATCACATCTTAGCAGAGATAAAGAGATGTGTAGACTGACCAACCTTGAGAAGAAAGAGTCTGGTATCCACATGAGAGTCTGTCTAGAGGTGCTGAACCTGAGAGGGAGGAGAGGATATACCTTAGATCAGACAGGCTCAGACATATCATGACAACGCAAAATGAATGACATTCAACGAAAGTGGATTGTATTGTACAATAACACTATTTGTCATGAGTTCTCATAGGTTTTCACATGCTTTTCGTTCTAATCCTCCGAAGAGAGATACACAGGCCCCGTTGTAGGATATCACCACAGCGTGTATTCCTATATCCAAGCCAAGGTGGAGTCAATTATCCATATCAATACTTCATAAACTACCGAACGTGTTTACTGTGGGATACCATGCTTGGGTTTTACATATGTTGCTGCTAACATATATTTGACTGGAACACAGTGAATAATACAGGCAATTTACTACACAATGTCCAGACATATCCTAAAATTGCGTTTTGCAACAATGTAAACACGCCTTGACAATGCGAGCGCGTGTGTTGCGTGCTTTTCGTGCATTTTATCGCAGCCCGAATTCCATGTTCTCGTTTGCGACATCATATCAACCTAAACAGAAACGATCAAGCTGTCTGCCTGTTCGAGTCTGTCAATACTATCCTGCCCTCCCCGAGAGCACATTGACAGTTCTTTTAGACTAAATTAGGCTATTTAAACGATGTAATACCGTGTCCCACCAACATTCAGTTGGATAATTTCGCCAATCCCAGATGTTAAATTGTTGCCATTCGCGGCCATGTTTTCACCCCGTCCCGTGCGTGTGGGTCACTCGTAGCCAGGAGAAGCTGTCCTGTTTCCAGTACGTTGAAGCAATCTCCAGTTTCCCCCCTTCCGCTCATCGCCCCCCCACGTCCTTCCAAGCCTCCATAAAATGTTTCACTTCCACGGAGCAACAGCAATTGTACCTGCGTACATAACCTAGCATAAACTACGGCTGTGTGTAGCCTTGTGGTAATGGTCAGGCGCGTCTAATTTTCCAGAATACACCGATATACTCGTTCCTATAGGTCCATGTGTGTTTGTAGTGGCGTGTATTTTAGTGTCTGATCTGTTTTCTGTATCGTGGGGTGACTCAATGCTGTGATCTTCTTCTTAGGTGAGGTTTAATGGCGGTTGGCATCCAAATGTTGCATTACCGCCCCCAACTGAACTGTAGTATAAATCCATTACACGTTGTAATACAAAATGGGAAAAGGGGAAACGGGGAAAATAAATAAATAAATATTTGTTTCATTACCCTACCAACTAACCCTACATTCAATAAAACCGACCATCTTATTCGACTAATTTAATCATATCTGATACTACCCCATGCCAACGACCTGGGAGGACAGGACACCACCACTCAACACACCCTGTAACTCTTCTGAAGTCAAATCTCATACACCCAAGTACTTCTCAGCTGCTGCCACAACAACATCTATATTCTGTGATTTACTTTCCGTTTCTGCGGTACAGTTGATAACCATTGCTATGAACGCTAAGAAGCTAACCTTACTGAAGCATATATAACTCGTAGTCCTGTTCCTCTGTGATGGCCAAATCTACTACTCACAGGGATCCTCTCAGGATACCTCACCCTTGATAAATCTTCCTCTACTTTCTTCACTGCCTCAGCATACAACACCTGCCTCTCTTGCACCTGACACTTACGATCCCCAGCAACATGGGCACCCCTACAGTTGACACAAACTGTACAATAATTTACCGAAACTACACAATAATTTGTCTTATGCCCTCCTGCACACTTCCTACATCTTGGAATCTCCTTCCTTAACACTGCTGCAACATGACCATAAACTGGTACCTGAAACACCGCAGTGGATTCGGTACAAAAGCGCTAACAGGATAACTGATATATCCTAACATGACTTTGTCGGGTAAAGATTCTGATTCAAAACTCAAAGGGACAGACTAAGGCACAGAGCGCCCGCTCCCTCTGGGCTGAAGAAACACAAATAAACATTACAAGTCCACTTCGGGTTACCTTCACCGATTTAACAGTACCCAACATCTTTTCCACCCAACCTGATACCACATATGGATCAGCCAAAATGCCTGGATCCACTTTCTACAAGAATCTCACTCCCACTGGACCAAACTCATCTTTATCATAACCATGTCCATCGATGCAAGGCTCGGGCTCCGAGCTCATCACCGCACCTTCCACCTCACTTAAATCTCACTCATTCTCTTCCATTTCACCTCCAGAGCTCGGTCTGGCGAACATCTCACCCTGTTTGTACTTGTCTTCTTCAATACACCATCTACCTTTTTATCACCATCTTCATCAAATTCAGATTCAACCTCTGCTTTCCTCATTCTCTTCGACCTCTTCTTCCTCTTTTTCCTCCTCCATTCCTCCTCCGAAATCCACCTTTCCGTGTCCCTGTCCCAATATTCCTCTTCTCCTGACTTTGCTAGCAGCCCTGTGTCATCCCGATTTAAGTCCATCTCATAATCGTCCTGCTCACCGCAGAAACGTGTCTTCTCCGGGCGCAGGCATTTTGGGAGCATGAGCAGTGGCACAACTCTCATCTCGACTTCCCTCTCCCAAATCGATGCCTCTCCCAAATCGATGCTGTGATCTTGACGAATGCAGCGTTCAAAACAACTAAAAAACTCGGAACTCGGAAATCTCAGACTTCCGACATCAGTGCGTTCAAGACAACTGGGAACTCAACGGTCATCCAACTCGGAATTCCAAGTCGCATACTCTGGCATCTTTCTAGAACTCCGACCTGAAGATCACTGACGTAATGAGTTGACCTTATTTTTTTATTTTGAGTATCCAAATTGTCTTGAAAGCACCACATGGAACAGCTGCCTCTCCCACCACTACCTCATCCCATATCTTGAGCCCTCAGCCTGGAAGCCGCTGAGGTATAGTAAGAATACTGGAGGCCATAGCCAGTCTTCTCTGAATTATAATAAATTGCCTAATGTCTGGCAACTTGTTGTGTAGGCCTGTTAGGCCTACTTGTTATTTTGAATATTCAAAACATGAAAAAAATAAGTTTATTTATCATAGTAGTTACATATAGGCCTACTTTAAAATAAAATGTCTAAATAGTCTAATTTTGTTGAATGAAGAATGTTGACATTCCTCAAATAACTTGTGAGATATTGAAGACCTCAAGTATTGATGTGTTTTCTTTAAGCTAGTAGGCCTACATTGCCAAATGTATCAGGAGAACAAATTATGCAAGGTTAGGAAAAGACCGCCCACTAGGCACACACCGGTTGAATCAACTGATTTTCCACGTCAGTTCAATTAAATTACGTTGAACCAATGTGGAAAAGACGTTGAATTGACGTCTGTGCCCAGTGAGTTTAATCAGTGTGCGTTTTGATAAAATGTTGCTAAATTCACACTTGTAAACCCATATGTTAGATGTGTTGTGTAATGTTTGTAGACAGAATAGCATGTCTGATGAGGAAAGTGGACAGTGTTATTATGAACGCAGGCCATCAGTCGAATTCAAAGTTATGTTTAGTGCAGTGGCTACATTAAACGTTAGTTTTTGTATCCTTGTAAGATTTTTTCTAGCCATACATGGCTACTTTGTATCATGATGCGAATACTCCATTGATAACTAACCACTATGATAAGCGCTGATAAATAAGGGGATATTTAGCCAACAAATGCCCTAATTAATGGTCGGGATAAGGTTGAGTTGGAGGTAGAGTAATGTAATCTGATTCTAGATCAGTGGTAGGGGAGCAATGTTTACCTCTCGAGCACTGTGATATAGGTTATCAAAGCTGCGCTTTACATGCGCATTGCGCACAATGGTGGAAGTTGTTCTGATATTCTACGAATGGGCGTCCCTCCCCTTTGTCATTTATAGTTAGCTTGCTAGCTTCTAACGTTATTAGCTAGATAATTTACGCACTGCGAGTGGGTTTGTACAATAAATACATGTCGTCACTTTCTTCTAAGTAAGTAACTAACCGTCTGTGTATACAGTATAGCTGGGTAACACAATGGGACTATTGCTGACTTGTTAATAATACACTGCTTTCCTAAGTTATCTTGCTAGTTCGCAAGCTAACTAGCTAACTTTGCTAACGTTAGCTAAAGTTGTGTTTTCAGCTAGTTTGCGTTCGTGCTATACATATTTTCTGAATGCGTGTAGCTGTTTATGCAGCATTTTGTCGTTGAGACCATGGCCGGGGCTAACTTTATGTTTAAGTGAAAGTTGATCAATTAGCTAGCTACTGTTAGTTATCTAGTGTCCCTGAGTTTGGGATAGTGCGGCGTGTAAAGTTAGGGTTAAAATTAACTTCAAGGTAGCTATGTTATCTACATGTAAAACTTGAACTGGAGTGCCCACCAGCTAATAAGCTAAGTTAGCCAACTGACGTTAGCAAACTAACAAAACCAGCTACTTGGCTGCCTCATTAATGACAGTCCACCATAACAACTGCATAGCAAGTAAACTACTTTTCAATTTTAGTTATGGCAAATATCTTTGCTGCCTTTACTGGTAACCATAGAGTTGTTGTTGAGGAGTGACGTAGAACGTCTTGACCCAAATGGATTAGTAGTATATAAATAAAAGTTGAAAAGGTCTTATTTCATATTACAGGTAAGGTATTGATTGCTATGGAAGTTGTGTGTGTGATATTAAGTGTCCCGTTTGCCTATAGTGCCTCATAGCCCCCAGGGTGTGTGAGAGAGGAGGGAGTGTAAGGGGGCGCGGCTGCTACAGTTCGAGAAGAGCGAGAAAGGCATTCTGCCTTCGCACGCCCCAGAGGAGAAGAAGAGTAGCATAGTCTGTCTCAGAGACCCGTATTGCCGTGATGTCAGAGGGAGACGGTAAACCCCTCCAGGCTCTGGAAGCCAAGGCAGAGACGGTGACCCCCAGTGGCCAGGGACCTGCGTCCGTGTCCCCTCCTGTGTCGGGGCCCCCCGCCACCACCCCCACAGAGGATGAGGAGGAGGAGGAGAGCGAAGACGAGTCCGAGATCCTGGAGGAGAGCCCCTGCGGCCGCTGGCAGAAACGCAGAGAGGAGGTGAGACAAGAGAGACCATTGGACTGTCAATGAACATTTTGCAACTGTGTTTGTGGAAGTACTGAACCATGTCTCTGCCTCTGTTCTCTCCCCCAGGTGAACCAGCGGAACGTCCCAGGGATAGATGCTGCCTACCTGGCCATGGACACAGAGGAGGGGGTGGAGGTGGTCTGGAACGAGGTCATGTTCTCAGAGAGGAAGAACTTCAAGCTGCAGGAGGTACAGCATGCCTGGCGGCAACACCAGCAGGATGCTCAGTCTGAAATCAGACCCTCAGTATCCATTTATTGATGCACGATTTAATCTGACCTCCAATTCACACAGCTCACAGCTTCCTTTCTAAGTAGCTGAATACAGGCAGCCCTGGCCTTAAAATCAAATCAAATCAAGCTTTATTTATACAGCACATTTCAGACATGGAATGCAACGCAATGTGCTTTACAGGAAAAAACTAATAAAAAAAAAAACTGCTTCAGACTTCCTGAGGACATGTATTCAGTGATGAAAAAACCTGAGGTGTAGACAAAGAAAAAAATCTGTTTGTTACATTGTTCTGTAATTTCCCTCACTCGCATTCAGGCTTCTCTCTCATGATGCAATCTGGCGTGGAGGAAGAGAGAGCATTTGGTCCCCCCCCTTCTCTCCTTCTCTCTCGTGTCTAGTAGAGCTGTTATCTTTGTACTACTACAGACCCTGTTTAGTTAAATGTTTCCCATGTCTATCCACCTCTGTGAACAGGAGAAGGTGAAGTCTGTGTTTGACAACCTGATTCAGCTGGAGCATCTCAACATCGTCAAGTTCCACAAGTACTGGGCTGACGTCAATGACATCAACCGCGCCAGGGTGAGTTCTGACTCTTCTACGAGAGGAAAAACCTTCATGTTTGTATCACATTTGGCCTGGCCTGGTTGATATATCAGGACTGAATGCGAGTGAGGAGTGAGTGAAATTACGGAACAATGTAACAACATAATTTGAATGATTCTTCTTAACTGATTTTTTTTCTTTGTCTACACCTCAGGTTATTTTCATCACTGAATACATGTCCTCAGGAAGTTTGAAGCAGTTTCTGAAGAAGACCAAGAAGAACCACAAGACTATGAATGAAAAGGTGCAGATATCATAATACAATTGACCCTGCCCACCAAGTCACCTACAACATAGTAGCACATGCTTAGCATATAAGAAGACATTCATTAGTCTACATGTAACAGAAAGTATATAATTTGTTTGTTTGTTATTTAGGCCTGGAAGAGATGGTGCACCCAGATCCTCTCAGCCCTCAGGTTAGTCTTTCTCTCACACAGACCAACTCTGTCATAGCTGCAACACTAATACCAGGACCCCATATTCAATCAAAACGGGTAACCGGGTTCATGCTCAGTAGGCACAAAACAGGGCTGAACGTTTTAAAACCGAGTGAAATGGGGAGGTACTAATACCCGAAGTTGTCCACATGTAGTGCCCTACTGAACCTGACCCTGGTTTATGAGGTAAGCCAAAAAAACACAGTGCTTTACTTCTCTGCTCTCTCTGATGTGCCTCTGTAGTTACCTCCACTCCTGTGAGCCACCCATCATCCATGGGAACCTGACCTGTGACACCATCTTCATCCAACACAACGGACTCATCAAGATAGGATCAGGTAGGACTCTAGTCATAAACACTGGTTTGTTACTGGCTAAGCAGCACCGTCCAGGCCAGCCCTGTATGGGTTTAGCTTCCGGATGTAACATATCTATAACAGGTTATAACAGATTTATAGACTGTCTAACCCGTGCCTAACCCAGTATATCTGTGTTTTTCTCCTTCAGTGGCTCCAGACACTATCAACAACCACGTGAAAACCTGCAGAGAGGAGCAGAAAAATCTGCACTTCTTCGCCCCCGAATATGGCGGTAAGAAGGACATTTATGGATAGGTTGTGTGTTTGGTTATTTGTAGGTTATAAAGAATACATAATAATAATAATAATAATATGCCATTTAGCAGACGCTTTTATCCAAAGCGACTTACAGTCGTGCATGCATAAAACATTTTTTGTGTATGGGTGGTCCCGGGGATCGAACCCACTACCTTGGCGTTACAAGCGCCGTGCTCTACCAGCTGAGCTACAGAGGACCACATATATTCGCAGGAAATGATAGACTATTGATTCACTCACACCATTGTTTCCTATCTTCCATTCTCCCACCTGTAGCTGTTGCAGATGTCACCACTGCAGTGGATATCTATTCCTTTGGGATGTGTGCCTTGGAGGTGAGATGGGACACCTTAAATCGACATGTGAAATTGGTGATATCTCTGTGCACCAGAATATGTGATGTCATCACTCCGCATCATTTTTATGTTATGGTGTTGCGACTTGTGTTGGGTGGGTGGTGGTGATATCATTGTATGTTGTGTAGATGGCAGTATTGGAGATCCAGGGGAACGGAGAATCTTCCTATGTCTCTCAGGAGGCCATCAACAATGCCATACAGTCACTGGAAGACCCACTGCAGAGGGTAGGAGATTGTGTGTGTTGGCATTCGTGTGTGTTTGCGTTTGTGTGTGTGTGTGTTTGTCTGTGTGCGTGCATGTATTATAAGATTTTCCCTGGAAATGTGTGTGTGTGTGTACCCTGCAGGAGTTTATCCAGACATGTCTGGAGGCTGACCCGTTTAAGAGGCCTACAGCCAGAGAGCTGCTGTTCCACCAGGCTCTGTTTGAGGTGCCCCTGTTAAAGCTGCTAGCGGCACACTGCATAGTCAGCCACCAGCGTGAGTCTTATTGTACACACACACACTGCATCATCAGCCACCAGCGTGAGACTTATTGTACACACACACACACACACTGCATCATCAGCCACCAGCGTGAGACTTATTGTACACACACACACTGCATCATCAGCCACCAGCTTGAGTCTTATTGTACACACACACACACACACACACACTGCATCATCAGCCACCAGCGTGAGACTTATTGTACACACACACACACACACTGCATCATCAGCCACCAGCGTGAGACTTATTGTACACACACACACACACACACACACACACACACACACACTGCATCATCAGCCACCAGCGTGAGACTTATTGTACACACACACACACACACACACACACTGCATCATCAGCCACCAGCGTGAGTCTTATTGTACACACACACACACACACACACACACACACACTGCATCATCAGCCACCAGCATGAGACTTATTGTACACACACACTGCATCATCAGCCACCAGCGTGAGACTTATTGTACACACACACACACACACACACACACACACACACACACACACACTTCATCATCAGCCACCAGCGTGAGACTTATTGTACACACACACACACACACACACACACACACACTTCATCATCAGCCACCAGCGTGAGACTTATTGTACACACACACACACACACACACACTGCATCATCAGCCACCAGCGTGAGACTTATTGTACACACACACACACACACACTGCATCATCAGCCACCAGCGTGAGACTTATTGTACACACACACACACACACACACACACTGCATCATCAGCCACCAGCATGAGACTTATTGTACACACACACTGCATCATCAGCCACCAGCATGAGACTTATTGTACACACACACACACACACACACACACACACACACACACTTCATCATCAGCCACCAGCGTGAGACTTATTGTACACACACACACACACACACACACACTGCATCATCAGCCACCAGCGTGAGACTTATTGTACACACACACACACACACACACTGCATCATCAGCCACCAGCGTGAGACTTATTGTACACACACACACACACACACACACACTGCATCATCAGCCACCAGCATGAGACTTATTGTACACACACACTGCATCATCAGCCACCAGCATGAGACTTATTGTACACACACACACACACACACACACACACACTTCATCATCAGCCACCAGCGTGAGACTTATTGTACACACACACACACACACACACACACACACTGCATCATCAGCCACCAGCGTGAGACTTATTGTACACACACACACACACACACTGCATCATCAGCCACCAGCGTGAGACTTATTGTACACACACACACACACACACACACACTGCATCATCAGCCACCAGCTTGAGTCTTATTGTACACACACACACACTGCATCATCAGCCACCAGCGTGAGTACCCCTACTATCTTCTCCATACCTCTCACAGATATGATCCCTGAGAATGCCTTAGAGGAGATCACTAAGAACATGGACCCCAACCTCATCATCGCTGAGATAAAGGAGGGCGTGCAGCTCAAGTAAGAGATGACAGTTTCTACATCTTCAACTGAGTAAGCCACAGTTGGCTTTTGATCTCAGGGTATTTTCTTCAGAAACCTGTGCTGATCCTGTTTATTTTGTCATCAGTCTGTCTCAGTTTCCTGCCTTGGAGCTGGATAAGTTCCTGGAGGATGTCCGGTAAGGAACTCCCCATCAACTACTGACCAGGACCGGACAGATGTCCAGCCTATTAAGCCTTTTCACCACTAGAGGGCATAGCTAACCCAGAGCGCTCAGAGCTCTACCACTACAGTACTAGACAAGTATCTTGTAATGCACTATAGAAGTATTTAGCTTAGACTGTTATTCTGCTTTGCCTGTATCTCAAATATTAGTGCTTGTATCCAGCCCTTCCCCCACTCTTACTTTTAATTGAAGTATTACTAGAATCTGTATTTGAAAAATCAGTGAGAATACCTGCAAACTCAAGATTTCCTCCCGGAGTTTTGAGTTTGCAAGGTTTTGAAGAATCAGGGGTCTTCACTTCGGCCTTAATTAAATGTGTGTAAGATTTGAACCTAACCCCCCCCCCCCCCCCAAAAAAAGAAAATAATATAAAGTTGGTCACAAACAAATAAAATGTGTACTTTACCTGTCTAATCATGAAATGTAAAGTAACCCCGCTGCCCTCTCTACCCAACAGGAATGGCATCTACCCCCTGACAGCATTCGGCCTGCCCTCTCACCAGCAGCCCCAGCAGTCCCCTGTCAAGTCCCCCATTGTCACCCCCTCTGTCAAATCCCCCACCCCAGAACCTGCTGAACTAGAGACACGGAAGGTGAGGGGAGGGAGGGAGGGAGGGAGTGGGGAGAGTATACAAATCCAATCAATTAACTAATAATGGTAATACATTTTATTTGTTGGACACCTTTCTGAACACCTATCTACATTTCTTACCTTCTGCAGGTTGTTCAGATGCAGTGTAATATTGAGCCGGTGGAGGAGGGTGCAAAACATCATGTAATTAGCATTAATGTCATTATTTTTAGATCAGTGAATACAAGTTAGATGACATGGACAAGTGTGTTCTAGTGGCCAGTCACTGAATGTGTAACCGCTACATCTCCTTTCCCTCCTCTTCCTCCCTCCACAGCTGACACTACTGTTGAAGCTGGAGGACAAACTCAACAGACACTTAAGCTGTGACTTGTTACCCAGTAAGAACAACAGATAGAAACACACAGAACAGCCAAAAGAAAAGGAAGACTGCACACATACTGAGATCTATGCTATTGCCAACCCAGTGTGCTTTATTAGACAACGCTTGGACCTTTAGGTCTTCTATAATAATAACCTGACAATCCACAGCCCCTGTACTGCTCCCAAGGGGGCCAATATGATTAAGTCTTACTGGATGGTCCCTCTCCTAACAGGCCAGACAGACCACAAGTCTCGATCAAACTATGTGTTGTTGACAGATGTTTGGGTAAGATAACATAACCACACAGCATTCCTTTAAACCAGTAATGGGCAACTGGCAGCCCTCAGATCAATTTTAAAAATATATATATAATTTTAAAAAATGTTGGGGGGGACTCAGTTGGGGTCTCAACTTACTGTTGTGAGTTAGAATAGTAGAATACACAAGGTGGATGTGGGTACCAGAGCCGCAAGCAACTGCTGCCCCTCATGATGAGTTCAGATTTATTGTGGCCCCCACCCCCATCAAAGTTGCCCATTCCTGCATTAAACAATGTCAGATTTCACAATCCCAGCTCTTGTGTCGGACTCTTGTGTGTATGTTGCCTGAAAATGGCAGGACTTTGGACATCCAAGCCTGTCTGAGTGTGTGTTTTGTCTTTATGACTCCAGACACTGGCCTGCCCTAGTGTACTGTAACCCCAGCCTAAATCACATCAGTGGGGCTGCTCCTATCGCATGCACAGCTGCCACCAACAGACTGGACGTGCATGCATGTGCCGTGTATGTGTGAAAAGTAGTGGGAGAGTCTAACGTGCAGATAAGGTGGAATGGGGAGTGTGTGGGGGGGGGATGCATGGAAGGCCATATTAGGTACAAACAGGATATTATTGAACCCTGTAGGGAATAGAGGTCTAAGTCAGGGATATACATGGAACACAAGTCTTTCCATGGCCAGGAGGGTGTGTCCAGACACACACATGACAGGCGTGTTGAGAATGTCAGGCGTGTGTGCATGCTGCTGGCAGCTGTTCTCTGGGGAGTGCTGGGCCAATGTGTGCATATACACACGCACACTCACAGATTTGCCTGCACATATGCAAACACATATTCTTATCTACGCTCACAAACACACACACATGCATATTCCTTCCCATACATGTACCTCTTATTGAGAATTATGCGTCTATCAGTGATGGTAAGATTATAACAGGAAGAGACTGGGCACTACGGTTTCTGTCTAAAGTCCAATGTAACTCTCTGTTGTGGTTACTGTTGGTGTTACTAACACAGTTAATTTTGCACTTAAAGGGAAACTTCACCGCTAGACACTTGGGAGGAAATGTGTGCGTTTCCACTGACCCTGCTGTCTGTCCTGTTTCAGATGAGAATGTACAGGAACTGGCTGTTGAGCTGGTACAACTGGGCTTCATCAGCGAGGTAAGGGTGTACTTGTGTGTGAGAGAGAGAGAGGAACAAGTGTGTGTACTGTCTAGGGGTTCTGTGGTAGAGAGGTGTGTGTGTGTACTGTCTAGGGGTTCTGTGGTAGAGAGGTGTGTGTGTGTACTGTCTAGGGGTTCTGTGGTAGAGAGGTGTGTGTGTGTACTGTCTAGGGGTTCTGTGGTAGAGAGGTGTGTGTTTTTTTAATTATTTTTATTTTTAATTTTTTTGGGTCATTTAGCAGACGCTCTTATCCAGAGCGACTTACAGGAGCAATTAGGGTTAAGTGCCTTGCTCAAGGGCACATCGACAGATTTTTCACCTAGTCGGCTCAGGGATTAGAACCAGCGACCTTTCGGTTACTGGCACAACGCTCTTAACCACTAAGCTACCTGTGTACTGTCTAGGGGTTCTGTGGTAGAGAGGTGTGTGTGTGTACTGTCTAGGGGTTCTGTGGTAGAGAGGTGTGTGTGTGTGTACTGTCTAGGGGTTCTGTGGTAGAGAGGTGTGTGTGTGTGTGTGTACTGTCTAGGGGTTCTGTGGTAGAGAGGTGTGTGTGTGTACTGTCTAGGGGTTCTGTGGTAGAGAGGTGTGTGTGTACTGTCTAGGGGTTCTGTGGTAGAGAGGTGTGTGTGTGTGTACTGTCTAGGGGTTCTGTGGTAGAGAGGTGTGTGTGTACTGTCTAGGGGTTCTGTGGTAGAGAGGTGTGTGTGTATCAGGGTCTGTGAGAGTGTAAGTGTTGTAGCTGGCATAGGAGAGGCAGTGAGAGTGGATGAGTGTATCTGTTCATTAGAGGGTCACACTTTTAGCTCTGACTGACCCCTATAAACACACACACACACACACACACACACACACACACACACGCATGCCAGATAGCAGCTCCTGCTCTCCACTCTAATACAGATAGGACTGTCTGTTTTTAGATTCTCCCACTCTGTACCTACAGTGCCTTCAGAAAGTATTCACATCCCTTGACTTTTTCCACATTTTAGTGTTACAGCCTGAATTTAAAATATATTACATTGAGATTGTGTGTCACTGGCCAACACACAATACCCCATAATGTCAAAGTGGAATTATGTATTTTTTTTAAAACAAATTAATTTAATAATACAATTATTATTTATTATTAATAAAATTCTGAAATGTCTTGAGTCAATAAGTATGTAACCCTTTTTGTTATGGCAAGCCTAAATAAGTTCAGGATTAAAAATGTACTTAATAACTTGCATGGACTCACTCTGTGTGCAATACTAGTGTTTAACAGGATTTTTGAACGACTACCTCATCTCTGTACCCCACACATACAATTATCTGTAAGGTCCCTCAGTCGAGCAATGAATTTCAAACACAGATTCAACCACAAAGACCAGAGATGTTTTCCAATGCCTCGCAAAGAAGGGCACCTATTGGTAGATTGGTTTGAAAAAAACTGACATTGAATATCCCTTTGAGCATGGTGAAGTTATTAATTATACTTTGGATGGTGTATAAATACACTTAGTCACTACAAGGATATAGGCGGCCTTCCTAACTCAGTTGCCGGAGAGGAAGGAAACCGCTTAGGGATTTCACCATGAGGCCAATGGTGACTTTAAAACAGTTACAGCATTTAATGTCTGTGATAGGAGAAGGATAGGAGGTCCTTCAGAATGGCGCCGGAGAAGATGGCTGCTGTTTTACAGCCCTCTAACCAATTGTACTATTATGTGTGTTTTTCCACGTTATTTGTAATTTATTTTGTACGTAATGTTTCTGCCATCGTCTCTTATAACCAAAAAGAGCTTCTGGATATCAGGACAGCGATTACTCACCTCGTATTGGACGAATAATTTTTGTTCAACGAGGCGGCCGCGAAGGATATCCTACAGACACCCGACAAGGCCCAAATCCCCGTCATTCGCATGAGGAAGAGACGGAGATATCGTGGACGTAGGTCGGGGTGCCTTGTAAGGATCCGACGGCGAGCGAGTAAACTGCCTCTTCCATCAATCCTATTAGCCAATCTTCAATCATTGGAAAATAAATTGGATGACCTAAGATTACGGTTATCCTACCAACGGGACATTAAAAACTGTAATATCTTATGTTTCACCGAGTCGTGGCTGAACGACGACATGGATAACATACAGCTAGCAGGCTATACGCTACATCGGCAGGATAGAACGGCTGACTCCGGTAAGACAAGGGGTGGCGGTCTGTGTATATTTGTAAACAACAGCTGGTGCACAAAATCAAATACTAAGTCTCGAGGTTTTGCTCGCCTGAGGTAGAGTATCTTATGATAAGCTGTAGACCACACTATTTGCCAAGAGAGTTTTCATCTATATATTTCATAGCTGTCTATTTACCACCACAAACCAATGCTGGCATTAAGATTGCACTGAATGAGCTGTATAAGGCCATAAGTCAACAGGAAAACGCTCATCCAGAGGCAGCACTCCTAGTGGCCGGGGACTTTAATGCAGGGAAACTTAAATCCGTTCTACCTAATTTCTACCAGCATGTTAAATGTGCAACCAGAGGAAAAAAAACTCTAGACCACCTTTACTCCACACACAGAGACACATACAAAGTTCTCCCTTGCCCTCCATTTGGCAAATCTGACCATAACTCTATCCTCCTGATTCCTGCTTATAAGCAAAAACTAAAGCAGGAAGCACCAGTGACTAGGTTAATTAAAAAAAGTGGTCAGATGACGCAGATGCTAAGCTACAGGACTGTTTTGCTAGCACAGACTGGAACATGTTCTGGGATTCTTCAGACAGCATTGAGGAGTACACCACATCAGTCACTGGCTTCATCAATAAGTGCATCGATGATGTCGTCCCCACAGTGACCGTACGTACATACCCCAACCAGAAGCCATGGATTACAGGAAACATCCGCACTGAGCTAAAGGGTAGAGCTGCCGCTTTCAAGGAGCGGGACTCTAACCCGGACGCTTATAAAAAATCCCGCTATGCCCTCCGACGAACCATCAAACAGGCAAAGAGTCAATACAGGACTAAGATTGAATCGTACTACACCGGCTCTGACACTCGTCGGATGTGGCAGGGCTTGAAAACTATTACAGACTACAAAGGGAAGCACAGCCGCGAGCTTCCCAGTGACACAAGCCTACCAGACGAGCTAAACCACTTCTATGCTCGCTTCGAGGCAAGCAACACTGAAGCATGCATGAGAGCACCAGCTGTTCCGGATTACTATGTGATCACGCTCTCCGTAGCCGATGTGAGTAAGACTTTTAAGCAGGTCAACATTCACAAGGCCGCAGGGCCAGATGGATTATCAGGACGTGTACTCCGAGCATGTGCTGACCAACTGGCAAGTGTCTTCACTGACATTTTCAACATGTCCCTGACTGAGTCTGTAATACCAACATGTTTCAAGCAGACCACCATAGTCCCCGTGCCCAAGGACACTAAGATAACCTGCCTAAATGACTACCGACCCGTAGCACTGACGTCTGTAGCCATGAAGTGCTTTGAAAGGCTGGTCATGGCTCACATCAACACCATTATCCCAGTAACCCTAGACCCACTCCAATTTGCATACCGCCCCAACAGAGCCACAGATGATGCAATCTCTATTGCACTCCACACTGCCCTTTCCTACCTGGACAAGAGGAACACCTACGTGATAATGCTATTCATTGACTACAGCTCAGCATTCAACACCATAATGCCCTCAAAGCTCAACACTAAGCTAAGGATCCTGGGACTAAACACCTCCCTCTGCAACTGGATCCTAGACTTCCTGACGGGCCGCCCCCAGGTGGTAAGGGTAGGTAACAACACATCTGCCACACTGATCCTCAACATGGGGGCCCCTCAGGGGTGCGTGCTCAGTCCCCTCCTGTACTCCCTGTTCACCCATGACTGCATGGCCAGGCACGACTCCAACACCATCATTAAGTTTGCCAACGACACAACAGTGGTAGGCCTGATCACCGACAACGATGAGACAGCCTATAGGGAGGAGGTCAGAGACCTGGCCGTGTGGTGCCAGGATAACAACCTCTCCCTCAACATGACCAAGACAAAGGAGATGATTGTGGACTACAGGGAAAAAAAAGAGGACTGAGCACGCCCCCATTCTCATCGACGGGGCTGTAGTGGAACGGGTTGAGAGCTTCAAGTTCCTTGGTGTCCACATCACCAACGAACTATCATGGTCCAAACACACCAAGACAGTCGTGAAGAGGGCACGACAAAGCCTATTCCCCCTCAGGAGACTGAAAAGATTCGGCATGGGTCCTCAGATCCTCAAAAAATTCTACAGCTGCACCATCGAGAGCATCCTGACTGGTTGCATCACCGCCTGGTATGGCAACTGCTTGGCCTCCGACCGCAAGGCACAACAGAGGGTCGTGCGTACGGCCCAGTACATCACTAGGGCCAAGCTTCCTGCCATCCAGGACCTCTATACCAGGCGGTCAGAGGAAGGCCCTCAAAATTGTCAAAGAGTCCAGCCACCCTAGTCATAGACTTTTCTCTCTGCTACCGCACGGCAAGCGGTACCGGAGTGCCAAGTCTAGGTCCAAAAGACTTCTCAACAGCTTCTACCCCCAAGCCATAAGACTCCTGAACAGCCAATCATGGCTACCCGGACTATTTGCACTGCCCCCCCACCCCATCTTTTTACGCTGCTGCTACTCTGTTAATTATTTATGCATAGTCACTTTAACTTTACCCACATGTACATATTACTTCAACTACCTCAACTAGCCGGTGCCCCCCGCACATTGACTTGCACCGGTACCCCCCTGTATATATAGCCTCCCTACTGTTATTTTATTTTACTTCTGCTCTTTTTTTCGCAACACTTTTTTGTTGTTTTATTTTACTTTTTTATAAAAAATAAATGCACTGTTGGTTAAGGGCTGTAAGTAAGCATTTCACTGTAATGTCTGCACCTGTTGTATTCGGCGCATGTGGCCAATAAAATTTGATTTGATTTGAGAACAAAGGATTGATCAACAACATTGTAGTTACTCCACAATACTAACCTAAATGACAGAGTGAAAAGAAGGAAGCCTGTACAGAAGAAAAATATTCAAAAACATGCATCCTGTTTGCAATAAGGCACTAAAGTAGTACTGCAAAAAATGTGGCAAAGCAATTAACTTTTTGTTTTGAATACAAAGTGTTATGTTTGGGGCAAATGAACACAACACGTCACTGAGTACCACTCTTCATAGTATTTTCAAGCATGGTGGTGGCTGCATCATGTTATGGGTATGCTTGTCATCGGCAAGGACTAGGGAGTTTTTTGGGATAAAAATAAACGGAATAGAGCTAAGCACAGGCAATATCCTAGAGGAAAACTTGGTTCAGTCTGCTTTCCAACAGACACTGGGAGACAAATTCACCTTTCAGCAGGACAATAACCTAAAACACAAGGCCAAATATACACTGGAGTTTCTTACTAAGACGACAGTGAATGTTCCTGAGTGGCTTAGTTACAGTTTTGACTTAAATCAGCTTGAAAAGCTATGGCAAGACTTGAAAATGGCTGTCTAGCAATGATCAACAACCAACTTGACAGAATTTTTTAAAGAATAATGTGCAAATATTGTACAATTCAGTTGTAGAAAGCTCTTAGGCTGTAGTCGCTGCCAAAGGTGATTTGATTCTAACATGTATTGACTCGGGTGTGAATACTTATGTAAATTACATATTTCTGTATTTCATTTTCAACAATTTGCAAAAATGTCTAAACATGTTTTCACTTTGTCATTATGGGGTATTGTGTGTAGATGGGTGAGAAAAAAATATTTAATCAATTTGGAATTCAGGCTCTAACAACAAACTAGAATAAGTCAAGGGTTATGAATACTTTCTGAAGGCGCTGTATATTTCTGAAGCGTGGCATACATAATATCTCCCACCCACAGCTCTTGAATCTTCAATGTGTGTTCCTGCTCCACAACATGTGAATTGATTGATTGATTGTCCCTACAGGTGGACCAGAGCAGGATGGCCACTGTGCTAGAAGAGGCCTTCACCAAGTTCTTCAGCAGGAACGGTTCCCTCAACCCTGTGACTGTGTCCTCATAACAGGATCAACATGGACCCCCACTCCAGTACCTATATACCCCCTACAGGCTTTTTACAACCCTCCCCTTCTTACCCCTAAGGACCCATGGACCCCCACTCCAGTACCTATACACCTATAGGCAGGCTTAGGCCTACACCTATACCACTGCTGGCCCCAACCACCACACATACACATGCCACACCCCGTGCCTCAGCCCTAATCCAAATCACTGGACTCTTTCACCCAAAACCTTGTGTGGTGTCTTCTATTTCTCTGGAGGACCATAGAGCCTTATTATGGGGCTGTCCGAGTCAGTCCCCTCTCCATTTAGTTCTCTCTATTTACACAGTAGCAACTTATTTGGGAAAGGAAGCCAACGCAGTATTACTTGTTTGTTTGTGTTTTAGAAATGTGTTTTATATCTTTGCTATTTGCCTTCTTGGTGGCTGTATACATGCACACACGCTATCCGCCTTAAAGTTGTCTGCTTCGGTGTGGTCACGCACGGCTGTGCATGAATGTCTGCAGTGAACTTGGCTCTCTTTCTGAGTGCTGTAGGTGACCATTGTAGGCTGCGTTTAGAAAGCCAGCCCAATTCTGATCTTTTCCTCCACTAATTGGTCTTTTAACCAATGAAAAAGATCTGATCAAGATCTCATGTGATTGGTCAAAAGACCAATTAGTGGAAAAAATATCAGAATTGGGCTGCCTGTCTAAACGCAGCTGTATATATTTAAATGAGTGTGATGGGGGAAGTCTAGGGCCTATATTCATGTTACCAATGTGTCATATTGTATCTTATGAAGTTTTTTTTATTTTTTTTATACTCTGAAATAGTTTACTGTGGTCTCAAATGATGGAGCCACAGCCCCATGGAGGCTGAGCCAATAGTCTGGGAGGTGTGGTATTTACAGGCTGTCAGTCAAAGCAGAGGAACAAGCTGAATGATTTACTGGAGATGTCCAATGGCTGGAGCTGTAGTTAAGAGGTGTTTGGGTGGTGAACAGTATTCATGCTTCTGATTTGTTATCACAACTTTATCTGTTCTGTAAAAAATATATACTTTACATTGTTTGGCCAACCTTATTTCTTATAGTGTACTTCATCTGGATAATGAAATGGTTTCCTTTGGACGTTCTGTTGAATGTTCTGGCCATTGAGAAAGTGTTTTTGTTGTGAACAGCAGGTAAGGGTTTTACTTTACTGTACAAATCCAAAGAGGAATTTGTGTTAAAGTCCAAATATGAAATGTAGATATGTGGACAAATGGTTAATCTAGTGGCCTGGCTGTCTGACTGGTACTGCTTTAGCCAAGCTGTTGTCTTGCCAAATGCAACAATGAAACGCTGTTGAATGCAGAAATTGTTAGGTAAACTGGGTCACGTTCAGTAGGGCACAATGTTGTGGAATTAAAATGTGTTTTACGGTTACTGTAATATTCAATGTGCTTTTTTTCTTTATAGTCTATCTCTACTTTGTGAGGAGCACTTGGGCAGTGTAGTTAAGAAAGATGTGTGTTGATGGGTAATGTGTGTGCATGCATGAGAAGTAGTTTGTGTGTGTGCTCGTGTGCCTTCTGATAAGTGTGTATCCTATGACAGCCTCTGCAATGTATGACTTTCTCTTTCCTCTAAATGGTATTTTCTATTTGTAAATAAATATGTAATGCACCACCTCTGCCCAAATGTCTCATCATTCATTATTTACTGAATCTCCTTTTAAACTGGGATGTTTAATCAGAAAGTGCTAACAGTAACTCAGTGAATACCTCCACCTACTCTGTGTGGTTCACTCTCACCATTATTATCAAATTGTATTCGTCACATGCTTTTGTAAACAACAGGTGTGGACTAACGGTGAAATGCTTACTTATGGGCTCTTCCCAACAACGCAGAGAGGAGGAAAATAGAGAAATAATAGAGAAATAAAACGTGGAATAATAAATACACAATGAGTAATGATAACGTATAAATATACAAGGGGTACAGGGGTTTAACTAACTATTTAGCAGTCTTATGGCTTGGGGGTAGAAGCTGTTCAGGGTCCTGTTGATTCCAGACTTGGTGCATCGGTACCGCTTGCCGTGCGGTAGCAGAGAGAACAGTCTATGACTTGGGTGGCTGGAGTCTTTGACAATTCTTTGGGCCTTCCTCTGACACTGCCTGGTATAGAGGTCCTGAATGGCAGGGAGCTCAGCCCCGTGATGTACTGGGCCGTACACACTACCCTCTGTAGCGCCTTGCGGTCGGATGCCAAGCAGTTGCCATATCAAGCGGTGATGCAGCCAGTCAAGCTGCTCTCAATGGTTCAGCTGCAGAATTTTTTGAGGATCTGAGGACCCATGCCAAATCTTTTCCGCCTCCTGAGGGGGAAGAGGTGTTGTCGTGCCCTCTTCACAACTGTGTTGGTGTGTTTGGCCCATGATAGATCCTTAATGTATACTAAATACTAAACAACATATTAATATTGATTAATATGTAACCCCAATAACCTTTGTCCTCCTGTTAATCTCCCGTGGGCAGATTCTGCACAGCTGACCAAATGATGTGAGATTTTACTTCTGGGTTAACCGAGGTTACCCTCCCTTGAACGCCCAACTCAAACATCAAAGGCATCACATCCCTGGGAATAAGCTTCACCCTACCCAATTTATTCAAAACCCTTCCAGAACAAACTGTAATTCACTCAGCAATAATTCCCTTCCACCATTCATGTAGACTAGAGTGCCGAATCTAGAACACTTCCATAGTCTCCATTAGGGCTGTGGCGGTCATGAAATTTTGTCAGCAGGTGATTGTCAAGCAAATAACTGCCGGTCCCACAGTAAATAACCGTTCATTAACATAAACTGAGTTGTCCTTATGTTAGGCCCTGATCTGGCTATCCCATAAGGCTGTGGGCTACACTAGTTAATTTAGCAGACAAGATTTGCTTAGTATTCCGTGGCATTATTTTATATAATTTCATAGTATGAAGAATACAATTGAACATAGCTGAAAAAAATTGAAAGGATATTTTCTCCAACTGATTTGAGGGAGTGCGCACATGTGGCTATTCTGTGTTGAGCAGTTAACAAAGTCGCTCTGGATAAGAGCGTCTGCTAAATGACGTAAATGTAAATGTAAATGAAAGGCATGAGCTCTGCTTTGTTTTTTGCACAGGCTGTACACACTTCATCAGTCTCTCATTCACAAACACTTGATAATGCCTCGAATTTCCCGGCGGCATCCCCTTTGTGTGGCCATAATGCCCCCTAAAAAAAACATGCCAGTGGCCGTTGTGCCTTTGGGCAGAATATAATAATTATAATTCCCTTCTCCTGGCTGCATGCTCCGAAGCACCTCTCACTCACATGGCTCTCCATCAAGTGATCAGGTCTTTCTCACAGGCTACAAGTGAAGACAGACACATTGGGGACGCAACTGGGCGGGTCCTTATCCAATTCCAAGGCGCATATTGAAGATAATGGAAGAACGGTCCACATTTACTTTTCGTCAATCAACAAGATGAGTAGGCCTAATGAACAGCAAAAGCACTAGCCTATGTCAATCTACTATCCCCCATAGTACAAAAGTTGAACTATTCTATTCTGTGCGAGAAATAAATATTCCAAACATAGTCTGGGACAGTTGTGGGATGCGATAGATCCCAAATAAATACAACCACTAACATCAAAAAAATGTTTTTAAGCAATGAGGCTGACGCAACAGATCAGAACGTTTGGCTTAAAATGTTGATAAACTATTAGGCTATTTCTTCACATTATAAGTGCAGCAATGCGCACACGGTATTAGGCTATAAGCGCGAATGTTCCATTAGCGGGAAAACACCGTTCTCAAAAGTGACCGCAAATGCGATATGCATGTCATCCTTTTATTATAAAGGTGCATTTGCATTGTGAAAATTATCTTTCCCAAATTTGAAACTCATGCGCTTGCTTATGTATAAAATCAAATCAAATTTTATTGGCCACATGCGCCGAATACAACAGGTGCAGACATTACAGTGAAATGCGTACTTACAGCCCTTAACCAACAGTGCATTTATTTTTAATAAAAATAGTAAAATAAAACAACAACAAAAAAGTGTTGAGAAAAAAAGAGCAGAAGTAAAATAAAATAACAGTAGGGAGGCTATATATACAGGGGGGTACCGGTGCAGAGTCAATGTGCGGGGGCACCGGCTAGTTGAGGTAGTTGAAGTAGGCCAGTTAGGCTCTACACCCATTGTAAAGCAGATTAATGTAAGAAGTTATTTGGCCACTTTAGTTGTGATACAAACCTTATCAAAACATGTATGCACTCACTAACTGTAAGTCACTCTGGATAATAGCGTTTGCTAAAATGATTAAAATGTAAAAAAAAAAATATATAGGCCTATGTGCTAGGCCACATCAGGTGTGCGACTATGATTTGAAAAAGTCACCCAAAAAAAGGCATGCGTTGTTTCTTGCCTTACTGCACAGAAGCTGGACATCATTCACAAGAGATAATATATCATTCACAAGTGATAGGCTAATATTGTCACCCATCAGACTATTCTTGATTTAGTCTTGTCTTTACATACAGTGGGGGAAAAAAGTATTTAGTCAGCCACCAATTGTGCAAGTTCTCCCACTTAAAAAGATGAGAGAGGCCTGTAATTTTCATCATAGGTACACGTCAACTATGACAGACAAATTGAGGAAAGAAAATTCAGAAAATCACATTGTAGGATTTTTTATGAATTTATTTGCAAATTATGGTGGAAAATAAGTATTTGGTCACCTACAAACAAGCAAGATTTCTGGCTCTCACAGACCTGTAACTTCTTCTTTAAGAGGCTCCTCTGTCCTCCACTCGTTACCTGTATTAATGGCACCTGTTTGAACTTGTTATCAGTATAAAAGACACCTGTCCACAACCTCAAACAGTCACACTCCAAACTCCACTATGGCCAAGACCAAAGAGCTGTCAAAGGACACCAGAAACAAAATTGTAGACCTGCACCAGGCTGGGAAGACTGAATCTGCAATAGGTAAGCAGCTTGGTTTGAAGAAATCAACTGTGGGAGCAATTATTAGGTAATGGAAGACATACAAGACCACTGATAATCTCCCTCGATCTGGGGCTCTACGCAAGATCTCACCCCGTGGGGTCAAAATGATCACAAGAACGGTGAGCAAAAATCCCAGAACCACACGGGGGGACCTAGTGAATGACCTGCAGAGAGCTGGGACCAAAGTAACAAAGCCTACCATCAGTAACACACTATGCCGCCAGGGACTCAAATCCTGCAGTGCCAGACGTGTCCCCCTGCTTAAGCCAGTACATGTCCAGGCCCGTCTGAAGTTTGCTAGAGTGCATTTGGATGATCCAGAAGAGGATTGGGAGAATGTCATATGGTCAGATGAAACCAAAATATAACTTTTTGGTAAAAACTTAACTCGTCGTGTTTGGAGGACAAAGAATGCTGAGTTGCATCCAAAGAACACCATACCTACTGTGAAGCATGGGGGTGGAAACATCATGCTTTGGGGCTGTTTTTCTGCAAAGGGACCAGGACGACTGATCCGTGTAAAGGAAAGAATGAATGGGGCCATGTATCGTGAGATTTTGAGTGAAAACCTCCTTCCATCAGCAAGGGCATTGAAGATGAAACGTGGCTGGGTCTTTCAGCATGACAATGATCCCAAACACACCGCCCGGGCAACGAAGGAGTGGCTTCGTAAGAAGCATTTCAAGGTCCTGGAGTGGCCTAGCCAGTCTCCAGATCTCAACCCCATAGAAAATCTTTGGAGGGAGTTGAAAGTCCGTGTTGCCCAGCGACAGCCCCAAAACATCACTGCTCTAGAGGAGATCTGCATGGAGGAATGGCCCAAAATACCAGCAACAGTGTGTGAAAACCTTGTGAAGACTTACAGAAAACGTTTGACCGGTGTCATTGCCAACAAAGGGTATATAACAAAGTATTGAGAAACTTTTGTTATTGACCAAATACTTATTTTCCACCATAATTTGCAAATAAATTCATTAAAAATCCTACAATGTGATTTCCTGGATTTTTTTTTCTTCATTTTGTCTGTCATAGTTGACGTGTACCTATGGTGAAAATTACAGGCCTCTCTCATCTTTTTAAGTGGGAGAACTTGCACAATTGGTGGCTGAATAAAAATACTTTTTTTCCCCACTGTATACTAAATAATATATGCGTGAAATTTGTTTTGATTTAGAATGGACCATTATCATGCACCTGTCTCGAAACAGCACTTTAATTGCAAATGGAGGATGCTTTTCATGCCAGCAAGGTAGGCTATACTCCTGTTGTTAAGAGAAGCAAAGTGCTTAATATTAGGAAAGTTGAGAAATAAATATAGTAGGCCTAGTCTATAGAAAGCTGATGGGATCCTCCTCACAGACTGAAAGACCATCACTTCAGACTGAAAGAAGTTAAGCTACACTAAAGCTACCCTACGAAAATATAGTTTACTTAACTAAAGTTACTTTGAAAAAGTAGTTAGCTACATCTAAACTACTTAGTGAAAGATTATTATATGTAAATCTGAAATGTCATAGACTATAAATTGCAAGAACAGATCACTTTGGGGTAATACGTTAACAGAATGTGTAATTTAGCTTATTAAACACAAAAACAATGTTTTAAGCGAGAATTAGGCAGGTCTGATGCCGGGGAAAAAATTGAAATGATTGCCTACTTCGTCCATATTTGGTTCCGGAAGTTAGCTGCACCACTACATGGCAAAAAAGGTTAACTACTGAAAACACTACCTAGATATGAATTTAGTTCAACTACCACCAAGCTTGTAGTCCTAAAAAACGGAAATTAGTTACCTCTGGTTCGTTCAGCCATTCCTATGGGGAAAATGAATGGGGAAAGAATAAGGTTTTGGGATAAACGCAGTGGTCTGAGGTTAACACAGTCTTAGGAGATCTTATACATAATGTTCTATTGTTCTATGAGATAATATCAGTCCGTTAACATTACCTTTATGAATTATTAAGCCTTTATGCTTTATGTGCTTTTTTATTACATTACGTTAACATTACGTTAGCTGATGACGATTATCTCATAGAACAAAACATTGAAGATCTTCTAAGCCTGTGTTTACCACCATTTTCTGCATTTATCCGAAAACCCTACAAAAACGCCATTAATTTCCCCATAGGCTTTGTCCAACGAGCCACGGTGGAGTTAGTGCCTATAAAAAGACACCATAACTATTTATCTGTATGCAAAACATGTAGTTTACTACTCCACAACACCAGCGGTAATGCACTTAATATAGAGATCAATAGTAATGGCGTCTTTTTGTAGGCAGTGTCCTTCGCAGATGCAGGAATGGCCACTTGCAGGAACGCCCCGAATAGCGTGCTGCAGTTGCACACTATTGAAAACCCCAAATGAAGAAGAAGTAGAAAAATGTACGCCCAACTTCCGCTCGACAGGTGAAGCCGGTGACGTCATCGACTCGGAACGCGCGAGGAACTGCTTCATGAAAACAAAATAATTAGCCGTTTTGTTTTACTCTAAGAAATTATCTTGAGGAATATACGGCAGCGATATGTGTGGGTTCGGTAAGTGAACTTTAAATAACTTATATTTTAGCGGAGGAGGCAACTTCCTGTTTTCGGTTTAGCGAGGCAACCATTATGTCTAGGTTACACAGGTGTTCGTTTGCGTTTTGCGTTATTTCGGAAGTAAACTGATAATCCACTACTGATGTTTTTAATGATAAATTAGCTAAACGTTTGGTGAGGACTGAGGAGTGCAATAAGGGACACTGTTGCTTCAGTGTTTCAGATGCATATCTGGGGTTTGCTTGTAAACCCGACGTTGAATTGCATTGAATTCTACGTCAGGCAGAAATGAGCGTTTGAATCGGGAAAGTTACCTCTCACCACCTCTACAAGCAAGAATGTTGAATAAAAGTACATTTCAACGTACTTTACCGGTTGTCGGAGCGGTTGGTCCTTTTTGCGGTAGGAATGTGAGACAATCTATCCACAGGAAAGTGTAATTACATGGTAGCGTCTGCTAAATGACTAAAATGTAAATGTAGTGAGTTCAGATTTCTATCATGCTCACAAAATAAAAAATACATGCATGAGATGCATGCACAGGCTACTTGCCGAGCTTGTGCAGATGTTTACAATCAAATGTATTTATAAAGCCCTTTTTACATCAGCAGATGTCACAAAGTGCTATACAGAAACCCAGCCTAAAACCCCAAACAGCAAGCAATGCAGATGTAGAAGCACGGTGGCAAGGAAAAACTCCCTAGAAAGGCAGAAACCTAGGAAGAAACCAAGAGGAACCAGGCTCTGAGGGGTGGCCAGTCCTCTTCTGGCTGTGCAGGGTGGAGATTATAACAGTACAAGGCCAGATTTTTCTCCAAGATGTTCAAACGTTCATAGATGACCAGCAGAGTCAAATAATAATCACAGTGGTTGTAGAGGTTGCAACAGGTCAGTACATCAGGAGTAAATGTCACTAGGCTTTTCATAGCTGGGAATTTAGAGGTTGAAATAGCAGGTCTGGGTCAAGGTAGCACGTCTGGTGAACAGGTCAGGGTTCCATAGCCGCAGGCAGGAGAGTGGAAACATGCTTCATCTGAACTGCTCTACCAGAGTTTTGAAAAGTTTATGTAATTATTCTTTCATGTGGATGTATTGTTTCACATTCCTACCAAAATGACCAACCGCACGTTCCGGTAAAGTTTGTTAAAATATAATTTTATTCAAAATTCTGGCTTGTAGAGGTCGTGAGAGGAAACTTTCCTGATTCAAATGCTAATTTCTGCCCGACTCGAATTCAATGCAATTCAACATTGAGTTTCCAGGTAAATCTGGGGTGTATTCATTAAGTCTTGCAACGGAAACCAGTGACAGTTTAAGAACCAAACGGAAGCAAACAGAGCAATCGGAATGAAACCGGGAGAGTCCTACCTGAATTTGTCCAATAGAAACCAAAGCATTTTCCATTTGGAGTAGACGGTTTCAGTTAAAAAACGTTTTGCAACGATATCCAACTAATGACTAGTACCATCTTGCTTCATCATGTAGGGCCTATTAGAACCAGCCTATCAGTCGGTTTGTGTAGGTCAACATTCCGCACCTTCTTTAGTGTTATAAATGTTTCTACCAACAAATAGGCCAAAGTTGAAGAGGCTTGCTTACTTACTTTTAAATACGTAAACTCACAGAACTAGAATGAGATTAAACTGTCATTCTCTATGGTGATTACTGTGTAATCTAATTTAATTTCAATTCCAGTCCATTCAAGAAGTACACTAAAATTCCATTTCGAATTGACTGGAATTGAAATGGTATTGACCCCAACCCTGATAGCCTACTCTACAACAATGACCATACAATGACCAATGACGACCGTGTGCTGATCTGTTAGATAAGGAGAAGGGTCCGGGGCGTCTGATGAAGAAGGGGTTTACTCTGATCCTGGTGGGTCACATTAACGTCATCCTGGGAGCCATCATCCACGGTAGCATCCTGCGCCACATCTCTAAACCCAACGACCAGATCACCACCGAGTTCACTGCCGTCAACATCATCTCTGTCACCTCCGGACTGCTGGTCAGTCAGATAACTATATTATGGGTTACCGTAGTAACAATTAGTAATAACATGATGTTATAGATAAAAACTGAAATGTTCTGTTTCCATTTTCAGAGCATTGCAACAGGAATCATTGCCATATTGGTGTCAAGAAATCTGTCAGTTTGGAAACTAGTAAGACCATAACCATCAATAACAAGAAAATATAATTTGTAAGATACAATGAACACCATTAAGTCTGCAACTGTCACCTCTTCACCACCTCTCGTCAAATTCTCCCCACCTCCTTCACATCTCCCCTCTTTCCCTCCTCTCTCCTCCACCTATTTCCCCGCTTTCTCTCTCTCTCCCCTCTATTCCCCAACTCCAGCACATAGGTCTTCTGATTAGTTCTTTCCTGAATGCCCTACTCTCTGCGGCCTGCGGTGTCGGGCTTCTATTGGCTATTAGCCTCACCATTGCCAACGAGGGGCGGGGCCTCATGTTGGGCTGCAACTTCACTGACCTGCCAATCAACGCCCGCTCGCCAGTCAACGCAGACTGCCCCTTTGACAGCACACGGATTTATGTAAATCTCTGTCTCTCGCTCTCTCTCCCTCTCTCTCTGCCCCTTTGACACCACACAAATATACAGATGTCTCTCTCTCTACCTCATATATATATATATATACAGTGGGGAGAACAAGTATTTGATACACTGCCGATTTTGCAGGTTTTCCTACTTACAAAGCATGTAGAGGTCTGTAATTTTTATCATAGGTACACTTCAACTGTGAGAGACGGAATCTAAAACAAAAATCCAGAAAATCATGTTGTATGATTTTTAAGTAATTAATTTGCATTTTATTGCATGACATAAGTATTTGATACATCAGAAAAGCAGAACTTAATATTTGGTACAGAAACCTTTGTTTGCAATTACAGAGATCATACGTTTCCTGTAGGTCTTGACCAGGTTTGCACACACTGCAGCAGGGATTTTGGCCCACTCCTCCATACAGACCTTCTCCAGATCCTTCAGGTTTTGGGGCTGTCGCTGGGCAATACGGACTTTCAGCTCCCTCCAAAGGGTTCAGGTCTGGAGACTGGCTAGGCCACTCCAGGACCTTGAGATGCTTCTTACGGAGCCACTCCTTAGTTGCCCTGGCTGTGTGTGTCGGGTCGTTGTCATGCTGGAAGACCCAGTCACGACCCATCTTCAATGCTCTTACTGAGGGAAGGAGGTTGTTGGCCAAGATCTCACGATACATGGCCCCATCCATCCTCCCCTCAATACGGTGCAGTCGTCCTGTCTCCTTTGCAGAAAAGCATCCCCAAAGAATGATGTTTCCACCTCCATGCTTCACGGTTGGGATGGTGTTCTTGGGGTTGTACTCATCCTTCTTCTTCCTCCAAACACGGCGAGTGGAGTTTAGACCAAAAAGCTATATTTTTGTCTCATCAGACCACATGACCTTCTCCCATTCCTCCTCTGGATCATCCAGATGGTCATTGGCAAACTTCAGACGGGCCTGGACATGCGCTGGCTTGAGCAGGGGGACCTTGCGTGCGCTGCAGGATTTTAATTTGTGACGGCGTAGTGTGTTACTAATAGTTTTCTTTGAGACTGTGTCCCAGCTCTCTTCAGGTCATTGACCAGGTCCTGCCGTGTAGTTCTGGGCTGATCCCTCACCTTCCTCATGATCATTGATGCCCCACGAGGTGAGATCTTGCATGGAGCCCCAGACCGAGGGTGATTGACCGTCATCTTGAACTTCTTCCATTTTCTAATAATTGCGCCAACAGTTGTTGCCTTCTCACCAAGCTGCTTGCCTATTGTCCTGTAGCCCATCCCAGCCTTGTGCAGGTCTACAATTCTATCCCTGATGTCTTTACACAGCTCTCTGGTCTTGGCCATTGTGGAGAGGTTGGAGTCTGTTTGATTGAGTGTGTGGACAGGTGTCTTTTATACAGGTAACGAGTTCAAACAGGTGCAGTTAATACAGGTAATGAGTGGAGAACAGGAGGGCTTCTTAAAGAAAAACTAACAGGTCTGTGAGAGACGGAATTCTTACTGGTTGGTAGGTGATCAAATACTTATGTCATGCAATAAAGTGCAAATGAATTACTTAAAAATCATACAATGTGATTTTCTGGATTTTTGTTTTAGATTCCGTCTCTCACAGTTGAAGTGTACCTATTATAAAAATTACAGACCTCTACATGCTTTGTAAGTAGGAAAACCTGCAATATCGGCAGTGTATCAAATACTTGTTCTCCCCACTGTATATATATACACACATATACACATATACACATATATACATACAGTACCAGTCAAAAGTTTCAAGGGTTTTTCTTTATTTTCTACTATTTTTTACATTGTAGAAAAATAGTGAAGACATCAAAACTATGAAATAACACATATGGAATCATGTAGTAACCAAAATAGTGTTAAACAAATCAACATTTATTTGAGATTCTTCAAAGTAGCCACCCTTTGCCTTGATGTCAGCTTTGCACACTCTTGGCATTTTCTCACCTGGAATGCTTTTCCAACAGTCTTGAAGGAGTTCCTACATATGCTGAGCACTTGTTGGCTGCTTTTCCTTCACTTTGCAGTCCAACTAATCCTAAACCATCTCAATTGGGTTGAGTTCAGGTGATTGTGGAGGCCAGGTCATCTGATGTAGCACTCCATCACTCTCCTTTTTGGTCAAATAGCCCTTACACAGCCTGGAGGTGTGTTGGGTCATTGTCCTGTTGAAAAATAAATGATAGTCCCACTAAGCGCAAACCAGATGGGATGGCGTATCGCTGCAGAATGCTGTGGTAGCCATGCTGGTTAAGTGTGCCTTGAATTCTAAATAAATCACAGACAGTGTCACCAGCAAAGCACCCCCACACAATCACACCTCCTCCTCCATGCTTCACGGTGGGTACCACACATGCGGAGATCATCCGTTCACCTACTCTGCGGCGTCTCACAAAGACACGGCGGTTGGAACCAAAAATCTCAAATTTCGACTCCAGACCAAAGGACAGATTTCCACCGGTCTAATGTCCATTGCTGGTGTTTCTTGGCCCAAGCAAGTCTCTTCTTCTTATTGGTGTCCTTTAGTAGTGGTTTCTTTGCAGCAATTCGACCGTGAAGGCCTGATTCACGCAGTCTCATCTGAACAGTTGATGTTGATGTGTCTGTGACTTGAACTTTGTGAAGCATTTATTTGGGCTGCAATTTCTGAGGCTGGTAACTGTAATGAACTTATCCTCTGCAGCAAAGGTAACTTTGGGTCTTCCTTTCCTGTGGCGGTCCTCATGAGAGCCAGTTTCATCATAGCGCCTGATGGTTTTTGCGACTGCACTTGAATAAACTTTAAACGTTTTTGACATTTTCCTTATTGACTGACCATCATGTCTTAAAGTAATGATGGACTGTCGTTTCTCTTTGCTTATTTGAGCTGTTCTTGCCATACTATGGACTTGGTCTTTTACCAAATAGGGCTATGTTCTGTATACCCCCCCCCCCCCTACCTTGTCACAACACAACTGATTGGCTCAAACGCACAACTGTTAATTGAAATGCATTCCAGGTGACTACCTCATGAAGCTGGTTGAGAGAATGCCAAGAGTGTGCAAAGCTGTCATCAAGGATGGCTACTTTGTAGAATCTCAAATATATTTGGATTTGTTTAACATATTTTTGGTTACTACATGATTCCATATGTGTCATTTCATAGTTTTGATGTCTTCACTATTATTTTACAATGTAGAAAATAGTACAAAAAAAGAAAAACCCTGGAATGAGTAGGTGTGTCCAAACTTTTGACTGGTACTGTATATATATGCACCTACCTTTCTCTCTCCTTCTCTCCAGGACACTACACTATCTCTGTGGTTCCCATGTGTACTTCTGGCTGGACTGGAAACAGCACTGTCTATCTGGTGCTTCGTAGTGGGACTGGTACTGAGGGGCCTGGGACCCTGCTCACACACATACCTCAAAGAACAGGTAACGCACACACACATACACATACACATACACATACACACACACACACACACACACACACACACATACACACTGTTCTCCATCTCTCCTGTCTCTGTGCCAGCTGGAGGAGGAGGCTCTGACCAATAGGGCAGCGGCAGATCCAGAGTACTCACCCCAGGGCCGGAGCCTGATTGGACAACACTCTGCCTATGCATAGAAGACTGCCACAGACCAGGAGGTGAGGGTTCAGTCCACTGGTGCTTGATCCTTCCACGAGCCTCTAGCCCCTTCTCCTTTCCCATTGCTCTAGGTCAGGCTCAGTCCGGGTCTCAACTTACTGTTGAGAGTTAGAATAGTAGAGTACACAAGGTGCAATTTCGAAATTTGGTTGTGCATCAGCAGTTATGTCAGTCACTGACAGTCACTCAATTCGCCCATGTCAGCTAACATCTTTTAGTCTAGCAAGCTATCTAAACTTGTACTAATCATGGTCAAATTACAGACTGGGGGGGCCGCCATTGATTTTGTTAGTCACTCTCACTCAGATATCTCATTTAAAACTGCAACATTTTCTCTAAGGGGGGGGGGCAAAATGTCACTTTTTGACTGCATGTGTGGGTATGGATGTGGGTATGCAGACCCGCGAGCCACTGTGGCCCCTCATGATGAGTTCAGATTATTTGTGGCTCCCACCACCATCAACGTTTCCCATCCCTGCTCTAGGTGGCGCCATGGTGCCTAGTGGTGCTTGTTTTAGTGAATACCAAAAACACAAGTAGTTCATGGGATATGATTGTGTAATGACCATTTTACCATTTTAATTAGAGGTTATTTCTGTCCGGTAAACTAAAGTGCTAGCGTTTACATGTACAGTAATCCCTCGTTTATCGCGGGGGTTACGTTCCGAAAATGACCCGCGATAAGTGAAATCCGCGAAATAGAAAACTTTTTATTTTTTACAATTAGCAACTATTACATGTATACAAATACAGTGACTCACGTGTAGGCCGTTTCGTCGACATTATGGGTTTAGAAGATGTTCGAAATTACAAGATAATTTGGCCAACTTAATGTAAATTTGCCAAGCTGTTTTATGTACGTACACATAACTGCACGAGACGACAAAATGATAGCACAATTCGTAGCATGTTTTGATACAAGAAGCGGGAGTGAGTTTTTAGCGAATCAGAATGCAGAGCACAATGCACCAAAAAAAAAAAAAAAATGCATTATGAAAATCCGCGAAATAGCGAATCCGCGATAAGTGAACCGCGAAGTGGCGAGGGATCACTGTAATCTGCTTCCTTCAGATCTGCCAAAACTAAAGCTATTTTTTAACTGAGCTAAAGTAACATCTCTCCTCATGCTCTCTTGTCAACAGTGTTTGATGACGAAGGTGTGACTGAACCTCTTCCTCTTCAGAGAACCTCCCTGGTGCCTTTACCTCCATTCATACCAAAGACTCTCCTCTCCCTCAACGTGAGCGGCTAGCTAGACTGTGAGATGACATTGTGTCTGTGTCTGCCTCAGAATGTCCGTCCTCCCCTCGATCCTCCGACATTTCACAAATGCAAAATGACAAACGCCTGTAGTGTAGAGATTATTTATGGATCAATATCTTCGTTATAGTATTTCGCTACGATCATATTTAAATGATTGCATTTAATCACATTTATCATGCTTCATGCTTTTTTCATTTTCTGTACATGTTATTTCCTCCTTTTAACAGCAGCACACTGTTATGTACTTTGTGAAATTTAACAACTAACTCTCAGCCAAGCCAAAGATTTTTGTTTTATGACTCTACTCTTGTATTTAATTGCCAATCTCAGCCAAAGATATGTGTTTTATTGTCCTGTGTGTTTTTGTAACCTGATTATGGCTACCAGGCCTCGATGCACTCCATAGTGTTTACTACTCTGTTATTCCCTGGCTTGAATGTATAATGTGGGGATATAGGAATAGCCTGCCGGAGAGGGGCTCTGAGGGTTCATCTCAAATTGCACCTTCTCCTATTCCTAGAAACAAATCTCCCACATTGCAGTTTTCTCCCCATTTCCCCCCCCCCCCTGCAGGTGCATATAAAACAAGGGGAACAGGGAGAGCTGAACCACTTTGGAGTACTGAGACGCACCCTGAGAGTTTAACTGAAACCCAATGCAGCAGAGTAGCCTCTGGGGGCCGGGGTGCATGAGTGGTCAGGTGGACACCATTATGTAGGCCATACAGGCGTAGCTGGGGTAGGCTCACATTCCCCCACACCAGGCAGAAGTGATCAGCTCAGCGCTGAAACGGTTAATCTTGTGCTGGGTTAAATCGAGTGGGTCGTAATCTTTGCACACAACGCTAATCCCCCGAGCCGAGGGGGGAATCAATATTGATATAAGGAGGTGACTGACCCTGTCACAACAAAGGTTGTTTTCTATGCATGGCCAGCAGAATGTTGTCCCTCCAGGGCTGCCGTATGTTGATATTGTACTGTAGTATTACTACTGTAGTGGGTTTCCACTAGCTTCGATAGCCACAAAGTCAGATTCCACAATCACAAAGTCTTAATTTAAGGCTAAGGTTAGCAGTGTGGTTACATTTAGGGCTAAGGTTTAAAATCTAATTTTAAGAAGTTAATTGTAGAAATGGGCTGGGTGTATGACTTCGTGGCTGTGGTAACTAGTGAAGATCACTTTGGAGGGATAAACGAGTGTAGGCTACTCATCGGGATGAGCTGGATTTCACTTAATTTAAACCCTGGTGGATTGTCTGAACTGTGCTCACTGGAATATGGTCCAATAACGTTTATGTGTAAGGGTTGGGGTCTTTCACATTTTTTTATCAGGAAGTGAGTTGAATTCATGAATTATAATTTCTATGAGGTCTCCTGAATTGAACACAACCATGATCTCAATCTACATTTCATGCATGTTGTTTTTTGCCTGCAGTATTTTTACTTGAAGTTGCATCTGATTGTGTTTAGTTGTTTTTATATTTTAAGGACTGCACCGATCAATGTGTTTAAAAGTTTTTTTATATTAAATAATTTGCTTCAAATAAATGTTAACTATTTGGCTTATCATTGCTATCCTCTGTGTGCTCTTCACATGACTGTTTACATCAGTGTTAAAGTGGGATGGGGACTTTCAGGTCTATTCTGTAGGCAGCCTATTGTGCAACCATGAATGAATGCACTGTATATATAACATAGGACATGATGTGAATTATATTGGAATTTCTCTGATATATCATGAAAATCAATTGAACTGATCGATGATCATTTTGCATAATGCAATCAGTTGGCTCTTATTATACTGGCGCTCTAGCTCAAAGCGCGCGTCCGGAGAATAGATAATTGATGGATTTGCATGCAGTAGCAGCGAGCGAGAGCTAGCGACGTGCTTGTGTATTGCCACTGGAAGAAACAACGGCAAAGAGCAGTGCAGATCAATGATTATTCCAATTGAAGGTGAAGTTTTGCTTTGGTTTTTTTTTGGAGGGGGGTGGGCTTAAATGTTCATTATGCAGAAGAAGTTCATTCGAAGCGTTTGTTCCCGTTATAGCTTGAAATATTTGTCACTCAGTTTGAGGTTGCGGCACAAATTGCTACAAATTGCAATGTAACCATATTCACGTTTACGAGTTAGCAATCGTATACAATTGTACAATTACTAAAACAAGCCAATACATTATTTTGTTTTCTTTGCTTCCTATAAAAAAATGCTACGCAAATGGTAGCGTTAGCACAGAGACAAGTTCGTGTGCGAGCCGTAGGTCAGAGATAGTCAGACATTCTAAAATGACGGGCTTGGGGCTATTTTAGCTAGATAATAGGCTAGATAGAAAAACAATGTTCCACTGTATTATTGCGTTGCATTTTGTTGGTATTAACCGGCGTGTCTACATTACTACACACTCACAGAGGTTGCTGTATCGCCTATACACCGTTCAAATGGCATTTCTTTGAGACACCAGCAGTGACCGGGTAATCAACCCAGTGGTGCGAAACATTGCGAGAACACGTTAGTTGCACGGCTATGGTGGTGGGTCGGCTTGCAGGGGGTAAATTCAAGACGAGGATGCATGGTTTTCTAGGCATAATATATTGAATTGACTGGAAGGGCGTGTGCGCAGCTGTGTAGTAGCAACGCCCAATAAGGTCCTGCAAAAATGACTATAAATTGCTCTGCATAGTAACCACTGCATATATACTGTATTGGACGACACACACCTATAGGCCTGTATACCTATAGGTGTTTGTCATAGACCTATAGGACAGTATCATGTTGACAGTAGCCAATCCTGACAGAAATGCATTTCATAATATATCTGCCTGTATGTAAGCTTAGGTTTACCAGTGAAGTTGATCTGTCACCCAACTGTTTTCACCCTCATTAGTGCTCTGTCTGTTTGAACATAAATAAATACATAAAACAATAACAGTGACTGTAATAATAGTGTAATAAAGACAATCTATGGGGACTTGTGTAAATGAGGGGTGGGGTTGCTGTTTTTCAACTCCCTGTCTCGTGTCACCTATTTACACATGTATAGGACTGTCTTGCCACTTGTCTTACCATTCTTTTGTGTTTTAACTTGTAGGTCTTGCTTGACTTGTGCTACTGGGCCATTGGACGTTCTTTGTGAAGAAACACTGAATACTTTCAATAGGCAGTCTCTTCTTTCATTGGAGAGAGAAGACCATAGCTGTGCTGGGGGAGACGGTGGAAAATCTAGGCTGATGATCACAGCCCTCCAGCGGGTACAGACCCAGACAGAGGAGGCTGGCTGTGTGGATCCCGTAGCCAGACTAGGTGCACTCATCTGGGGGATAGAAACAGCAGGACTCCCCTGTGAGTGCCACAGGTTTCCAGGGTGTGATTGTGGAGAAGAAGAAGAAGAATAGCCCTGCTGTTATCTCATCCCTCCTTTCCTCTCTTCATCCCTCTCTTCCCCTCCCCTGCTCATCGAGGATGAGAGTGAGGTGGGACTACAAGTCACCTGCAATGGCAGACTCGCACAGAGAGAGGGTCATGCCTAGGTCACTCTTCCTCTTGCTTCTCTTCCTCTTGTCCCTCTGCTCCCCCTGTCTGTCTATCCATGCGGCAACAGCAGAGAGCCACAGTACGTTTACCTGTGAGCCAGTAGGACTGCGGATGTGCCAGGACCTGCCTTACAACGCCACCTTCATGCCCAACCTCCTCAACCACTATGACCAGCAGACTGCCGCGCTCGCCATGGAGGTACTGACTATAGCTGTGTGTGTGTGTGTGTGTGTGTGTATGTGCATTGCTGTTGCCCCAAAGGGATCATGGTTTATGAATAGAGACTGAAATGAGGTTGTAATTGGAGCGTTTGGGCTGACATAGAAACCAACCAACTTAGGTTACTGGCTGTTCTATCCTTCTTCAGAATGAATGGGCAAGGATAGGTTTTTACAATCAGTAGGGTACTAACTTTAGCCTACTAGTACTTATTTCTCAGCAGATTTCAAGGCTGACGTGGTTTTCTGTAGTAGTTTTGTTCTGTAGGGGTAAAACCTTGTAAATACATATCTTTCTCTGTCCGTATGCCTGTGGCTTGGAGGCGTTGTGTCAGAGACAGTATTTTCTGATCCGATGATGAAAGGTCTGACGTGTGTGTGTCTCATCTGCTAGTCATCCATTAATGGCTATCATGGCATACTGTTATATCTCCAACCTTTCAAAATGCCCTCACCTGTTTTGTTACCGATCACCTTACTACACATGTAGCTTCCAAAAACCATGTCGCTTTCTGTCCTGTCTAAATCTAGTTGTAGCATGATGATGATGACATAACTTATGTTTTGCTGCAGTGTACCAGTTATGTAAATAGATTATGAATAAAGTGTAAAAGTCCAATCTGGTCCAGAAATTCCCAGCACAGCTGTTCCTCATCTTCAGATTATCTTGCCCCTGTCAGAATCAACCGAAAACATCACACAACTAACCAGGCTGTGATTTATTTCTGTGTATTCAATAATTGAGCATTTTTGTTGTTGTTGAATTGTATCAACATATATTAATGTGAAGATTTTAAACAAACATCTGTTGTTGAACTTGATTTGATCCAGTAGAGAAGTAGCCTAACTTAAACCCTACATCCCCGGAAGGCAGCTTTACAAAATGCAGTTGTTGCAACAAGAGGAGCTGCAATGTGAGACCGTTGTAGTTCTCTCTCCCAGTCACTCTGGCAGCATCAGTGGAGGGCTCTGGGTGTGGGAACCCGCAGAGGAAATTGAATAATATCCCTCACGGGACACTGGCTGTACCCGCTCTGATTCATCGTGTCTTTGTGTGTGTGTGTGTGTGTGTGTGTGCACGCAAACGCGGCTTACATGTGTCTCACCAGAACGCTGTGTAAGCCCTGCCTTTAGTGAACCACATCCAATTACAGCAACAGAAAGCATGTTATATCGAGTAGAGCTGAAAGCATGTTATATCGAGTAGAGCTGAAAGCATGTTATATCGAGTAGAGCTGTAGCCCTGGCTGATACAATGCTGTGTGAATGGCTGGTTGAGCTGTAGCAGGGCCTTGGGTTTATGTTTGTCTGAGGCCTGTAGCCCTGGTTGGTACTGTGCTGTGTTTCCTGTGTGATTGACAGCAGGTCTATTGGTGCCAGCTGACATTATTCTCACCAGTGCTAACTAGCCACTAATCTTCCCCAACGCTCCACAATCGAGGGTTTGATTCTCAGCGTGGAACGATTCTCTCTCACCCGACACTGCAGTCAATTAAGCCTGGGGGGAGGAGAGGGGGGAGAAAGGGATGTGGGGAGAGGGTTGAGAGGAAAAGAGAGAGAAAGAATGTGTGAACG